AATCCGGACCATACCACTGTATGTCTTACGAGAAAAACGCATGAATATACCTTGCTGTTCTCTTACCCTTGAACATAGATTAAATAAATGTTATCATGAAAAGCTAGATAACATTTGTCCAGCCTTTTTATTCACCCTCCAAACTTGGAAACTGTATAAAAAAAGCCTGTATATAAGCAATCACAAGAAGAAAATACAATCTAAGCTATTTCAAAAAGAAAAACCAAAAGTAATTACCCATTATGGGGATGATAAAGTTTAATTTAAAAAGCAAACAAGAAATCTTTGTGACCTTGGGATAGGTAACGATTTCACCGATATGACACAAAAAGCATTAATCATAAAAAGCAATATCAATAAATTGGACCTTTATCAAAATTAAGTACTTTCGCTCCTCAAAAAACCATTAAGTAAACTAAAAGCCTGGAAAACAATGTTTACAATACATATCGCTGACAAAGAATTTATATCTAGAAAATATAAAGAGCTCCTAACACTTTATATTAAGAAGACAATCCAGCCAAAAAAAAAAAAAAAATGAGCTGAAGATTAGAACACTTCACAAAAACAAATATCTACATAGTCAGTAAACACATGAGAAGCTCTGCATCGTCAGACGTTTGGGAAATGAAAATCAAAACCACAATGAGATGCCGCTGCACACTAAGATAGCTATAATCTAAACGACAGTAACAGGAGGTGACAAGTATGTGAAGAAATTGGAACCCTCAAGCATCGCTAGTGCAAACATAAAACGGTGTGTCCATATTGGAAAACAATGTCTTAGCCCATTCAGGCTGCTGTAACAAAATACCACAGACTGGATGGCTTATGAACAGCAGAAATGGACCGTCCCAAAGGCTGGAAGTCCAAGATCTACATACCAGCATGGTCAGGTTCTAGTGAGGACCTCCTTCTGGGTTGCAGACTCCAAATTTCTGGTTGTGTCCTAACACGGCAGAAGGGGTGAGGGGCTCTCTCAGGCCTCTCTTACAAGGGCATTAATCCCATTCTTAATCACCTCTGAAGGCCCTACCTCCTAATACCATTACCTTGGGGATTACGATCTCAACATAAAAATTGGGGAGGACTCCGAGATTCATACCAAAACAGTACAGCACTTTCTTAAAATGTTAAACATAGATTTACCATGGGACCAGCAATTCCACTCCTAGGCAGCTATCCAAGAGCTTAAAGGAAAATATATGTCCATATAAAAAAAGTAGTACATGTTCACAGCAGCATTTTTCATAATAGCCAAAATGTATAAATAACCCCAAATATCCATCAAATGGTGAACGGATTAAACAAAATGCAGTGTATTCATATACTTGAATATTACACTATTCGGCAACAAAAAGGAACAAAGTACGGATACGTGCTACAACACGGATGAACCGCTCAAAACATCGTGTTGAGTGAAAGAAACCAAACACAAAAGGCCACCTATTGCCTGATTCCATTCACAGGAAATCTCCAGAAAAGGCAAATCTTGAGAATAAATGATTAGCGGTTGCCTAGGGATCGGGGCGGGTGGAAATGGAGATTAACTACAAATGAATACACACCTTCTTTAAGGGATGATGAAAATGTTCTAAAATAAAATTATGTTGATTGTTGCGCAACTCTGTAAATACACTACAAATCACTGAATTGTCTGTCCACTTAAAATAGGTGAGTTTTGCCAGTACAAAAATTGTACCTCAATAGCTTTTTAGAAAAGATACTCAACCTCATTAGTCATCACTGAATGCTAATTAAAGCCACCATGAGATACCACTACACATCCATTAGAATGGCTAAAATTTTAGAGACTGACAACACTAAGCATTGGGGAGGTCACAGAGCAACTAGAATTCTCGTACACGGCCGATGGAGATATAAAATGGTGTACTGGGTGTGTATAACATTCCCCAAAATGACATGTCCAATCTTAACCCATGGTAGTTGTCACTGTGACCTGCTCTGGGAAAGGGGTCTTTGTAGATGTAATTAAATGGAGGATCCTGAGATTAAGATCATCTTGGATTTAGGGTAGGCCCTAAATATAATGACTGGTGTCTTTACTAGAGAAAGGAGCGGGGGGAGATTTGACACACAGAAACACAGAGAAGGTGGCCAGGGGAACACAGAAGCCAAATAAAGTTAAGTTGCCCAAACCAAGAAATGCCAGGAATCACCAGAAGCTACAAGAGGCAAGGAAGGGTTCTCCCCTAGAGCCTCCAGAGGGACCATGACCTGTCAAAACCTTGCATCCAGACTTACCTTTAGAACTAAGAGAGAATAAATTTGTTTTAAGACACCAGGTTTGTGGTAACTTGTTCCAGCCGCACTAGAAAACTAACACAAATGGCAGAATCACTTTGGCAGTTTCTTAGAAGGCTAAACAGAGAACTCAACAATTGGAATTCTGAGTGTTTACCCAATAGAAAGAAAGACAAAGATTTATACAGGAATAGTCACAGCAGCATTTTTTACATAACAGCCCCACACCAGAAACAATTCAAATGTTCTTCAGCAACAGGTGAATGAATAAACAATATGTGGTAAATCCACACAGTAGACTATCACTCAGCAATAAAAAGGAATGAACTATTGATATACATGACAACATGAATAAGTCTCAAAAATCACTATGCTTAGTGAAAATAGACTCAAGAGTTCATACCGTATGTTTCCATTGGTATGAAATTCTAGAAAATATGGACTCATCTACAGCAAAAGAAAACATTATAAGTGGTTGCTTGGGAGCCAAGGTAGGGGAAGACACTGACTGCAAATCAGCAAGAGGAAATTTCTAGAAGGGACTGAACTGTTCTCTATGTCAACGATGATGGTGGTTTTGCAGGTGTATACACCTGTCAAACTCATCAAATTGTACATTATAAACGGGTGCAAATTATTGTACGTAAATTATGCCTCAATAAAGTTGATTAGAAAATGAGAAAGTAGGTCATGAGTAACTGAACATTTCCTATTTAAGATTTAAAACTCAACTGCCTATACTTTGTTCTAACCGATGATACTGGCATAAGCAAATTTTAAATAAATATCAAAGAACTTCTTTAAAGAAAACAGGAAGACAACTTGCTCTATCAATTCAACATGTTTCACCAGCAGAAAATGGAAAAAAGCTCTGAGTCCGATAGACCTGGTTCTGAGCCCTAGTTCCACATAGCAACCAAGTGGCCTTGGGCAAGTCATGATTTCCTTAAGCCTTGGTTTCCACATCTGTAAAATGTGGAAGACATGAATAACTATCTCACAGGCAACGGTTATGGTTTCAGTAGAGTAAAAGCTTCTTTGTGCACGGATTCTATCTTAGCTAAAGTCATAATCCCAGTGTCTAGCAAATAAATAATAGGTGCTCAATAAATCTTAACAGAATAGATGGATAACACAAATGTACAGCTAAAAGGTGAGAAAGACATCATACACAATGCCACTGGATGACATTTCTCTCTTCCTTTACACTGTTGCCGACTAATGCAAAAGAATCTTCCCTTCCCCTCCCTTTCCCCCCGTGGAACCCATCTTCAGTATTCTGTCCATATCACAGGCAGACCCTAGCATGGAAACTTCAGGTCCCCAGTGCAACCTGGTCATAACTCAGGTCATTATAGGGCAGATTTTATATTTTAAATCCATAGAAGTACTCCCTAAGACAAACTCACTTGTAGGATTCGAAATTCTACAAGAGCAAGAACTGTGTGTTATATTTATAATTGGTTCTCACTTCTAATATTTGCCTAATATAGAGTAAGCAACATAATAGCATGTGTAAAGGCTATGTAACCAGAGAGAGCAGAAAAGAGGGCCTTTTAAAAAGGCCAACGTGGCCGATGGGCGAAGAGTGGGCAGAATGTCATGTGGGATGTCCAGACCATCATAGGCCATGTGAAGTTCTGTCTCTCTCTTGAGAACAACAGGAAGTCATGGAAAACTTTTAAACAGGTGGTTGGCAGAGGAGGGAGGAAGGAAAGGGACATGATCAGATTTGCATTTTGAAAAGATCACACTCCATAGTGTGCAGAAGAGACTGGTTGTGTGGGAGAAAGGGGATGAGGGGACAAAGGAGTGTTAGTGTGTAGAGTGAGTGCAGACCAATAAGGAGCCTGATGCAACAATCCATTAAAGACATAATGGTAGCTTGGTCCAAGGTGGCAGAGATTGAAAAAATGGACCGGTTTACCGACGTATTTAAACAAATCAACAGGACTTGATTTGGGGAATGAGACAGAAAAACACTCCATTCTTCTGAAACTCAAGGCTTCGCCTGTAAAACAGGGCTGTTGATACTCCATCTGCATAATATCTATCTTGAAATCTGCTGCAGTGAGAATATGAAATATAAATTTTACGAACTTAACGCAGAAACTGACATGTAATAAATGCTTGTAATAAATGACAATAAATAAATGCATGTAATAAATGACAAAACAAAACGTCGCTATAGATGTTATTATTGCCATCCCATGGAACGGCAACTACCTGAGGCTGAACCCCAAAGGTAGAAAATAGGATTGTAGTTAGATTCATACCCGCTGTGCTGAAGACACAGAACAAAACAGGCAACCACTGAGACAACTGTTCCAAATAAATACATCTGGCCGCACAGATATTTCATCTGAACCAATCTCGTCCTCAGAAATCATTACCGAAGAGAACGCACAACTGTTACGATCACAGTCATCTGAGAGTCCGGTAAACTGAGGCACAGGGTAGCTACAAAGCTGACCAAGGAATGAAGTGCAGAAGCAGGAAAAGGAAATGGGTGTCGTGATTCTCATTGGTGAGCTGATCCAACAGGATGCTAGGCCTGCATCCTGAGCAGCACGAATGTAATATGCCCCAATGTCTCTGGTTCCCTTGCTGACAAGGCCTTGTCATCCCCTGGCTTAAGACCGTGCGTCCGTTCGCCAGGCAGCCAAGCCCTTCCGGTTCCCGGCCCCTAGCTATAAGTGCACCAAAGATCCCAGACTCTGGAGAAGCCCACATACCTTAGCTTCGCGCTCTCGTTCCTCGGCGGTCGGGGTCCGCTTCATGCTGCCGCTACAGCCGCCTTCGCCACTGCTAGCCGCGTAGATTCCTCGCTCTGGACCCCGCCTCCTGCATGTAGTTCTCTCGGCGTCCTGCTTCCGCCCAGCTCCATGCTCCTTCAGAGCCTCGAGAACTACCCTTCCCAGGATGCAAGGCGGCGACGCCCGAGAGAGCCTCGGGGTTTCGGGCAGGAGAATTTCCCAGGGCCGACAGCTACGCAGCGAGAGGGCGGGCGAGGGCCGGAGGAAAACTACATTTCCCAGGAGGCAACGGAGCCTGCCATGTTTTTCCCGTGCTCCTCACGGCCAGCAGCCCAGCACGCTGTCGGCGCTATAGCAACGGTAGCTAGCTGCGGGGAGACTGTGGCGGTGAGTACTCTGGGGGAGGTGAGGGGGACGGAGGTGGCCCCACCCTCTACCTACAGCACGGGTGGGGGTCCTGGGATCCGCTCTACGGCCTAGAGAAGGCCCTAGAGTTCTGCTTGCGTGAAAAGCAGCCCAGCACGAGACACCACATCCTCAGGCCTGAATCACAGCCCGCCCATTATCCCCACGCCCAGCACCGGTTTGAAATTTTACAGCCCAGCCTTAAACCAGGCTGATGAGAGTTGATGCTGCCTGCCGTGCCTTTCCAAGTCCTCCTTCATATAGAAGGGCACATAACCACAATTCGCTCCTTAACCTTGGGTTAAGAGTTGGTTGGTAGCCCCTTTAGCCTCTTAAATGGCCTATTGTTGGCTTAATGATTTATAATTACTTGTTTATGGTTTGATTACCCCATAGCCTGTTAACTACAGACAGGCGGGGATTTTGTTTACCATTTTAGTCTCAAAGCCAGGTTTTCATTTAAACATTCAGTAAATATTAATGTCGGTCTTGGATCAGTGCCTTGCATCAGGCCCTGTTCCCTACAGCTGTGAACAGGACTGATACCCGTCTCAAGATGCTTCTGCTTTACATACTAGGTGACAAACTGGTAGTCAACTAGTAAACAAATAAGACGATTTTAGGTAGAGATGACTGCTACAACAGAAATACACAGTGATGAAACGGGAGGGAAAGTAACCATAGGATGATCAGGGAAGACATCTCTGAGGAAGTGGCATTTGAGCTGAGCCCCAGAGAATGAGGAGCCAGCTAATGCAAAGGCTTTGAGCAAGGCGAAGGGGACCCTGGATTTGAGGAACCTAATGTAGGAGTGTGATTGGTCATGGTGAGCGAGGAGGGATGACATGAGATGGTATGGAGAGGTGTTACAGCGTGGTGCAGGATTTCTCAGCCTCGGCATTGTTAACTTGTGGGGCCAGGTAATTAATTCTTTGCTGTGGTTCCCGTGTACTGTAGGATGTTTCACATCATCTCTGGCCTCTGGATGCCAGTAACACTGCCCTCCACCTTCCCAACCATGACAAAAATGTGACCAGACGCCTACTTCTTAGGTGTGTGACCTTAGGCAAGCTCCCTAGGATGTGTCCAGGTTTTTTCATTTGTAAAGTAAGAACCATTTGTGTAACAACCTCACAGGGATATTGTGAGATAATTGATTAATTCCTAATCAGAGCACTCAGAAGAGTGTCTGGCACATTTTAGTAAGCATTCAGTAAGTAAACGTTAACTATCATCATCGTCGTGATCACGAAAGCTACCATAACTCTGTCATGGCAACGTTACCGTTTTCACAAGTGTCCTATGTTTAAACTGTTGATGATTTGCTTCCTAAAATCGACCTTTTCTGTAGTAGTGTTTCCAGAAGTAGGAGATGATCTCTCAGGTCTATGTCTGTTAATTGTGTCACGACTGAATGCAGTGGTTCTCAGCCTTCTGTAAGTTACAGTAAAAGTTATAAGCCCTTTCCCTAAAAGATAGTGTGCATATACAAATATGCATACAAGATTTGATAAACCATCTCTTGGGTCCCCAGACCCTAAAGCTCCATGGATTCCCTTCATTCAACAAGTATTTAGCAAATGCCTGCTATGTGCCAAGCTCTGTGCTAGCCTCTGAGAGTACAGGACAGAGGTGCACAGGACAAATTTGGTACTCTCTTGGACTTTACATTCTAGGCCCGCCGTTCTAGAGATTGAGAACCTCTGCCTTAGGGCATCTCACTGGTAGTTTGCATTTGGCTTTCGAGGTAATTTGAAATGAAAATACGAAATCTTTCTTTTTCCGCATACTAGACATTGCACAGACCGTTTACATCCACATACAAAACTGAGTTACTGTGGGGCATCTCTGTGAACAATAGAAACTGTAAAGATGCCAGAATTAACTGGACAGCTTGTATGTTGAGGTAGGAAGCCCTGGGACTAGGCCTCGTGGCGACAGAGACAGGACAGAACAAAAACTCAGTGGGCGAATTTATGAAGCATCTTTTTGCAAAACTTGGACCTACCCACTCATTTGCGCACCAAACTGGAAATTAATATTCAAGTAGTATTGACCTCCCAGGCAAATGTGCTCACTGCTATTAATTTACCATCTCACCCTTAGAATAACTCTGTAAGATCGGTATTATTTTCTCCATTTTTGAAGTTAAGGAACTGAGGCACCTGGCTGGCTCAGTTGTCGGTAGAGCATGTGACTTCTGATCTCCAGGTCATGAGTTTGAGCCCTATGCTGGGGGTAGAGTTTACTTGTATACATACATATATACTATGTAAGGGTGTGTGTGTGTGTGTGTGTGTGTGTGTGTGTGTAAAACAAAGTAAGATGACCTTTTAAGAAATACTGAGATTAAGGAACCGAAACTCAGACTAGGTGACTTCACCAGCTAGTAAATAATAGAACAACCATTTGAATCAAGTTTCTGACTGGTTTTTTTCAAGGTACCTGCTTGCTTTGGGGGGCACAAAAGGGAAAGGGGGATGGAGAGGAAAGTATTTCTTAAATTAGGGGGGAGTTTTTTTTGTTTCAGACAGAGAAATAAGAAGAGAGAAGGAAGAATGATAATCTTACCTCATTTCCTAAGCAAACTATAGGAAATACACTGTTGAAAGGAACACTGTCTCCATGATTGAACGTAGTATTACTTTTAAAATGAAGCTTTCATCTTCTTCAAGCAGCACATGTGAGCATTAAGAAGTCCATTAAAGTCATAGTGCCTTATTTATTTTATTTGGTTCATTCCATTGCATAATGTTGTATGTTGAGAAGACTTTATTTGAATTTTCTTTTCTCCGCAGACAGGCCATGTCTGGTCCAACTGATGAGACGGCAGGAGACCTGCCTGTGAAAGATACAGGTCTAAACCTCTCTGGAATGGGAGGGTTACAAGGTACGGCCAGCTGTTATTTATTATCGTTATGAACTTTGATCAGTAACTTCTTTTCTGTTAATTTAAAGTATTTCTGATATCCTCACCAATGAAGCCGTTTAAGTAACTATATAGCTCTTGATTGGACTAAACAGGCACATGGAGAGTTTAGAACAACATATGGTATTTTATTGCATGCATCAATTATCAACAGCTCATAGAAACTGTAAAATCCCCCTCTGTTCTGATAAAGAATTGTTATAAATCATCTTTTTAAAATTCCACACATCAGTAGGAACTACGCAGAGAGTATCAAGCCTCCAAACCAAATTGCCTGGTTTAAATCACATTCACCATTGAAATGTTTCTTTATGTTGAAATTTTATATGGCAGGAAATGCCATATTTAAAAATTTTTGCCTTTCAAGTAGAGTACCTCAAAATGGTTTGTTTATCCAAGCGATATTGACTTTGTTTTATCAAATTAATATACATTAAAGGTTTTCCTTATCCTTTTATCACTTAGTGGTTGCTATAGAGCTCAAGAAGCACTTTAAAATTGAAAAAGTAAAATAACTGCTTTGAGGAACAATTGAGAGTGTAGAGCTATGTTTTTGTGTATACAGCATGTCATGCCAGTGCATTTGTCATTGAGATGGCTGGGATGTAAAATACTCTCCACTAAGGTGTCTTCATACACCTGTCCGTTAGAACAGTTCAAGTGGCCACCTTGAACTACCACAGAAAGGTGGTCAGTATGCTTTTTATTGAAAAAGATACGTCCAAGTCTACAGATTCTATTTTTTAAAATGAAAAGTATGTATAAGCTTTGTTTTAGGTCTTTGGTAGAGTACCAAGTATTCAAATACCAATAAATTTTAATTGTGCAAAGCTATTTATTGGAATTTGCTACTTTAAGTTCAATTCTTGCCCTCAGGAACACACCTAGGGGCTTTAATCTTTGTCCATTTGTTCTTTGTTTCTTTTGGATGATTGATGAAAATTAGCCAATGATATGGAAAATACCAAATTTAAGCATATATTAAAAAAATACATATACATGCTGAAAGATATAAAAGTTCTTTTAAAATATGTAAAATAGCTTATAAATTTGTAAAGGTTGGTTGATTTCGTTGTGTGGACTTGCAAATTTTACAGTTTATGTTCTGTAACCCAAAACACATACATAGCTCTGAAATATATCCTGTGTTCACCAAATTATTGTTACAACTCTTTTGTAAAAAACAAACAAACAAAAAAAACCTTTCAGATACTTTGACTTTTAATTTGTTTTTTTCAACATTGAGCATATAAATTGAAAATCTTATTCGATCAGAATTCTCTTACAGTCTTAAAGAATGGTCATTTCAATATCGTTTGAATGGATATTATTATTGCTGAAATCCTTAAGATTGCATATAAACTGTAATAGCAAAGATTTTTATTCTCCCCTCTGCTTGGTGACGTAAACAATGTTATAACATTTTCTACAACAATCTTAATTATATGTCAGAAAGGAACAAAGATGAGTGCATCAGAGATTATATTAATATCAACTGTTACCATTTTTAGAGACTATGTTAAGTAATCCCACTGTTAATTACCTTGGCATTTTTACAGAAACTTCAACAACACGGACAATGAAGTCTCGCCAGGCAGTGTCACGTATCAGTCGTGAGGAACTGGAAGACAGATTTTTGCGTTTGCATGATGAGAACATTTTACTTAAACAGCATGCCCACAAGCAAGAGGATAAAATTAAAAGGTTATGATAAAAAGCTTTTAGCTTTTTTTCCTGACTCTGTAAAGTTTGGAGGATATGCTGTTTTATAAACTTAATTGAAAACTCCACCTGGAATCTTTTTTGGAACAAGGCAGGTTGTAAATAAATACAATTTTTAAAAATGGAAAATCTTACAAAATAGAATAATAAACCAAAAAGATTATGAGTGTTTATTATGTCTGAAGTTGCTATTTGAAAGCAAGAGCTAATAACTAAGAGTACAAGTGTATCATATCTATAAATAACTTCTGGTTTAATATTTATAGTTTAATAAGCAAATGGCCAAAGCATCTGTTTTTTAAATGTCTTGGTTTTAAAATGAAAGTTTGAAAAAGTAATTAGCTATTCTAACTTGTTAGGATACACGTTCCCTTAAGATTGGGGGTTTACTAATGAAAACCTCACTTCAATGTCTGGAACATATTTAACTTTGCTTGGATTAGTCTAGAACCTATATTTCAAAGAGTCCTTACTGTTCCTAAAGACACATTGTCACTTGATTTGTGTGCAAGAAATTTTTGCAGGGGTAACTTCTTAAGAGTAGACTTTCTTTCATTCTTTCTTGTTCACAAACACCATTACTATCTTTGGAATGTATGTCCTTAAAAACAAAGAAGTACATTCCCATTTGTAAACTTGCACAGGCCTGTATTCATATTCATGTTCTAGGCTAAATGGAAAGGTGGGACAGCCATGGAAGAAAGATGATGGTATGGGGTGGGGGGTGGGGGGGAGGTCTTTTCTGAGTAGAATTTATCCTGCTAAGAATTTATCTGTACTCTGTGGGCTTTGTTTTCATGACTCACTGACCTGCTGGGTGGGGGGCTTTTGAGTTCATTTTTGAGTCCTGATAACATGGTTTTTCAAGACCTGTGATTCGCTTACCTGATTCCTTTTCTGGCCAGTAACACACACATGTCCTGTCAGAATGAGGAATGCAGTCTATGACCACAGAACCATTTTTTTTCCTTTGTAAGCCTAATTGGCCAGTTAAATAATTGAATTCACAACCTTGACCTCATTAGTAATCTGTCCTAGCCAGAAAATATAAAACAACCTAATAACGAGCCATGTAGTTTAATAGAAAAAGGACTCGGCTAGGAATCAAGTTGTATACATGGGTTCTATTATTTCTCTGCCACTAGCCTATGGTATTAGGCTGAAGCCATTTAAGCTCTTGGGATTTTATTTTATATAGCCCTGAGAGTAGTGAACCAAGGACCACTATGACCCAAAGCTCTAAATCCTTTCTGAATTTTATGCCACTGACACTACCTACAAACATGTGTAAAACTGCTTTCATTTATTTTTTTAAGATTTTATTTTTGAGTAATCTCTACACCCAACATGGGGCTCGAACTTACAACCCCAAGATCGGGAGTCACATGCTTTACCGATTGAGCCAGCCGGGCGGTCCAGAACTGCTTTTAAATTTATCCTTAAGATGGAATTAGTATCACGTTGGTATAAATGTAGATTTGATAAACTACCTTTTTAAATAAGTACTCAAACTTTACCAGATCACTTATGATTCTTTAATGTTAGAAAATAATCACCCGAAACAAATGAAAATTATTGCTATTCCTGTACAAACATGCGATCTTAGGTTTCTTGACAAAAAGTTTATTTGTACATCCCTGAAGGAATTTAAAGCCGCTCTATTGATGTGCTTTGCTTTCCTTCAAAATTTGGGTCATTTGTTATTCTCCACATGTTGACTGACTTTTTATATTAAACCTGTGTCCTTTGGATATAATCTCTATCTCTGTGAAAGTCTCTTGGTAACAAAAGATTCAGATATTTAGCTCGACATCTCAGTTGGATGGCTACCATATTTCTGTGGCTAAGCCACTGGGCGGTGGCTCTGTTGGGCTTATGATACCTGCCCCAATTTCCCAATGATATATCATTCTCTGGATTAGGTGGAAAAGGAACTAATCCATTGATTATTTTACTAGAGTGTTTGTGGTACTCTTGGATCTTGGTTTTTATTATCCTATATCCCTTATAAAGCATGTTTAATGGATTTGCCTCAAGGGAAAGAGAAAACAATCTTAACTGATTATGTTATGCATAGCTCTCCCTGATGCCACATGCTGTAGGCCGGGTAGTCAGAAGTGTAGATAGACCTGTATTACTACCGCTCTTACAGAGGACTCTGCTCAGGGCAAAAAAAGGTTGTTCTATGACATCCCAAAGCTATTAAGGATTTTTTTATTTCACTTTTGTTCTCTTAAGTAAAAGCTTCTGTCCATAACCATGGTAAAATAAAGCAAACCCCATTTAAAGAAAAATGAAGTGAGTTTTTATTTTCAATCTCCGTCTGGCTCTTTATAAAAATAGATTCACTATAAACCAGAATCAGCTATTGAAGATGTGCGACCAATTTTGTAAAGTCTTGAACTTGTGTCTCTCATCAAAGCCACCTTTTCTTTCTTGTCCTGCCAACATTTTTCCACTCACTGTCAGGCATGTTTTCCGTACGTGTATATTACATCACCCCCATGTGCCCTTTCTGTCTTTTGTTCTGTCTAACCAGTTTTTATCAAAACTTAAAAGAATGAAAGGTATAAACTCCTGAGATGTCAAAAGCACAACTTATGTCGAAATTTAAAGGTAGCATTAAAATAACGCCTCTTGCATCTGATTACTTTCTGCCATCAAACACGAGGATTTCTTGTCCGAAGCAGCATTTAGTGGCACATTTTGGTTCCTCTGAATTTTTCATTGGGCTTTTTATAAATGTGTACCTGTGCATTCTAACCTTCTTGTATTTGTAGTATGTCTTAATTCTAGAGAAACTGAAAACAGTCTGCCTAAAACTTAGCAGTGCTGCAGTCTTAACACTTTTCAAAACTGTAACTTACTGTGGCTTGCATATTATAACCCACCACATCCACAATCTGTAGCTACATTTAAGTGCATACAGCATTCCTACATAAGGTCATGCGTTAAAAATTGCATTTGAGGAACATATGGAGTAAATATGTGTCCTCTCTTTACTAACCTTAAATGATAAGCCTTAGGAAACTGTTATTTGTCAGTGCTATAAAGCAGATTGTTGCCCAGTGGTTTCAATTATCATCAAAGGATTCTTCACAGGCAGTAATAGTTACATCAAAACCTGAAATTTATTATTCAGGTTCTGCACTGAAGTCCTCACAGTGATTATGTTCCTTTCAACAGAATGCATTTTATGCTGACTTCTCACATTCCTTTTCATCTTTTTATTATTTCCCTAGAATGGCCACCAAGTTAATACGGCTAGTTAATGACAAGAAAAGATATGAGCGGGGTGGTGGCGGCCCCAAGCGGCTGGGACGAGATGTGGAAATGGAAGAAATGATTGAGCGGCTGCAAGAGAAAGTGCATGAGCTTGAAAGACAGAATGAAGTCCTCAAAAACAGACTCATTTCAACCAAACAGCAACTTCAAATCCAGGGTTACAGGCAAACACCGTACAATTACGTGCAATCTCGTGTTAACACGGGGCGTAGAAAAGTGAATGAAAATGCAGGCTCACAGGAATGCCCCAGGAAAGGTAAAGTAAGCTTATATTGACTTATATTAGATCCTAAATGTAACTCTTTTAATAGGTTATTTTACACACACACAGAGTTTTATTTCCATATTTTTGATGGTTTTGAGTAACTTTAGAAAGAAAAATGTTTTTGACTTGCTTTTTGATAAAATGTTAATATTAACATGAAGATCCTTTTATTCAAGAATCCCTAGATCACACCCAAATATGTTAGGTAACACCTTGAACGTAACTCTTTATCCTGATACGGGAGATACATGTGCAACCATAAAATAGAAGTTTAGTTTGAGTTGGTTTTCTGTGTTGCAGACGGAAATCGCATTGACTCAGGCAAACGAGGAAACCAGCTAGTTTGCTTATTTATGATCGCACTTAATTTCTTTGTCAGAAGGCTGTTTATAAAATTTGCAGGATTGTTTAAATCCTTCATCGTATGGCAACAGCATGACAGTGCAATATGGGTATAACTAAGGGTTTCAAAAACTGGGTTCCTGCTCCTCTACTTACTGTCTGGTGACCTTGGACAAGTCATCTGATCATTCTGACCTTGATCTTTACATGTAGGATAAAAGGATTTAAGCAAGTGACCATAAAGGCCTCCTCTGTCTCCAAAAATGATCATAGGTCAATCACTTTCCTCATTTTGAAAATGAGTCCCGTAAAACATACCCAGGTTACAAAGCAATTCAATTGCATAGATGAAACTTAACATGAAAAGAACCTAAATACTTCTAATAAAAATCCCCAATTCTCTCCGCCCATGATGAACTTACTTATTTATGATGAAGTGAAAAATCAGTATGTATTTTAAGTAACATTTTTAAAATTTCATCAACTAGGGAAGGAAATAACATGATAGCTGTAATTGATCTTTGTTTGGAACATGCTTCACATCAAGACCAAACATTTTGAGGGACACAAAAAAATCATGTAAAACTTTCATTTCAATTCATTGAGGAGAGGAAAAAAATGCCATGTAAACAGAAAAGGAGAAAATTTTGTTCTATTTTTTTTCTCCAGACTGATTATTGACACTATCTCTTCCCCAGGCAGAGTTCCCTGGAAGTCACCAAGGCCTCCACCTAGGAGACAGCTGCAGGATGGCAGGGCTTACCTACTCTAGCTTGTGAGGTTGGCAACAGACTGAAAATAACCAAAGCAATCATAATGAATTATAAATTAGAAAATTATTCTGCTGCTAATTAACATGGAAGAGAGCACTTGACCTCTCAGAGCCTCATTCTTCCTATCTGTAGAATGGAGTGATAACAGCAGATTAGCCAAAGAGTCGAGAGATGGTAACGCCATGGTAAAATATGTTACCTTTCAAAAGTCACCTATCCACTCCAAAACGTAGTTTTGGCATCTGTGACTATAGCTGGGCAAGATGATCTCTAAGGTCTGTAAGGTCTTTTATACTAAATAAAAAAGCAACACCCAGATTTTAGATGAATATGGCAAACTAATCTAGTACTATGAATTGCTGTTTAAAAAGAAGAATCTGATGGAAGTTTTCTCTTATGGAGGGAAAAAAAAAGAGCTGCACAGTCTTTACAGTGTGACTACATAGCTTGAATTTCTCCTTGTGTTTATACAATCTTAGTAATTCAGGGGCACCTGGGTGGCTCAGTCGATTAAGCATCCGACTTTGGCTCAGGTCGTTTATCTCACGGTTCGTGGGTTCAAGCCCCACATCAGGCTGTGTGCTGACTGCTCAGAGCCTGAAGCCTGCATCAGATTCTGTGTCTCTCACTCTGCCCCTCCCTCACTTGCACTCTGTCCCTCTCTCTCTCTCAGAAAAATAAATAAACATTAAAAAAAAAAATCATACTAATTCAAACCTTTTTCACTGCTTGATACAGAGTCCAAGAGGTAGAAGCTGCACAAAGTGCTAACTGGTGATGAATATGTTCTCTTTCTGAGTAAACTCCAGGCACCATTATCAAGGTTGATACCTTAGTAATCTGAATAAACTCTCGAAGACTGCCTTTGAGCTTGGGACTTAGGCCACACTTGTCAGAAATATCACAGCGTAGGGTGGCCAGGTGCAGACAGTAGACCCTCTCTGGCTATGAGCAGCCTTGCCCTCAAGCTGCTGTACAAATACTACCTTTTTCTATGCGTGCCTTGTCAGGATAAAGCATGGAAAGTACTGGTTTAACGTGTGATCATTGTAATGTAGAAAGAATCCTTACTGTGAAGAACTGGTAGAACAAAGATTTTTATCAAGTGTGCATGTTTTACAATATAACCATTGGCAAACCACTATTACACCATAAGTATTAAGATTATTTTAAGGATAGGGGCGCCTAAGTGGCTCAGTCAGTTAAGAGGCCGACTTCAGCTCAGGTCGAGATCTCATGGTCTGTGAGTTCAAGCCCCACATCAGGCTCTGTGCTTGCAGCTCAGAGCCCGGAGGCTGCTTCAGATTCTGCAGAGCCCAATGCGGGGCTCCATCGACCGTGAGATCATGATCTGAGCCAAAATCAAGAGTCACACACTTACCTGACTTAGCCACCCAGGCGCCCCAAGAAAGAATTTTTATCTATACCTCGTATCTGAGACTATGCTCCACTAAAAATCTAAATTATTTGTCATATTTAATCTACTTGAAACTCTAGTTACTTATTTTTTAAGTGTAATCCAATCATGTAATTAAAATCATGTCTCACTTTTAACAACGGGACTAGACTTGTAAAGTTGCATGTAACGACTTTTACAAGAAAAACTATATTTTTAGGGCAGCAGCAAAATTTTTTATTTAAAGGAATCTCATTCATGATCACTTCTTGAATTACCTTTGTTTAAATGTGAATTTTCTTATTGAGATGGAATAAACCAAAGTGTAGAACATTTTGATTCACACTCACAGTATCTGTGAGTCTCACAAATGAAGATCAGGTTCAAAATGTAAGGGCAAGGAATGTGAATGGCTAATGGAAAAAAATTTTTTTAAATCTACATCCAGGGATGCCTGGATGGCTCAGTCAGTTAAGTGTCCGACTTTGGCTCAGGTCATGATCTTGCAGTCTGTGGGTTTGAGCCCCATGTTGGGCTCTGTGCTGACAGCTCAGAACCTGGCTGGAGCCTGCTTCAGATTCTGTGTCTCCCTCTCTCTCTGCCCCTCCTCCACCTGCATTCTGTCTTTCTCTCTCTCTCAAAAAAATAAAACATTAAAAAAAATTTTAATAAAAAAATAAAAATAAAAGTCTTTAGCCAAAATATAGGGGGCGGGGGGGAAGTTAAGTCATTGAAATCTCTTTCCTTCATACCTGAGTTTATATCGTAAAGCCCTGAATTGAAGACTTTGGTTCTTTCAGAATGACTTTAGGAGTTATAAATCTAAGTGGAGTCAAATTATTTCTAGGTCATTTGGTTTCCATAGCAGAATTTGTTTAATGGGCAATACTTACTGCTGTGTGCACTTGATGCCAATGATACTCCCTTGGGCAATGGATTTCTAAGTCTCTGCACTATAGAGCTCCTGTATCTCAGTACTTAGGAAATTTTCTTATATACACATTTCTTTATGATAGCAAATCAAGAGTCCTTCTTTATTAATTTCACTTTTATAATCTTGCTGATTGACTTTTAGGTATTCGCTTCCAAGATATTGACGTAGCAGAAACTCTACAACCCATGCTTACAAAACATGGCAACAGTTTACTTGAAGAAGCCAGAGGAGAAATAAGAAATTTGTATGTATTCTTTTTATGGTCATTTTAGAGCTTTATTTATTGATTGATCATGTCTTTTTTGATCCCTCCCTTTCCTTTATTTTAAACACAATTGGCTTATGTACAAATAATTTGCTCCACTAAATACATCTTGATCCGTGGGGTAAGAACAGATATTATAGAACATGTTTCCAATAAAATGAGGCAAATGAGCAACTTAACCGACTGCATCAATGGAGGGGTTTATAGAATAGTCTCTGTATTACAATTTTCTCCCCAAAGGAATGGCGTAAAGCCCAGTCATTTAGAATAGTATAAGCTTTAGAGGCAGCATTATCCATGCTCAGAAAAATTACAGGTAATTTTTTTTTTTAATCCCGAATTAATTAGCCTTTTTGCAGTTAAAAAAAAAAAAAAAAGAATTGGAGGGAGTGGCTTAAAAGTTTGGAGTTATCAAATACATATGGATTTCAGATTTTGTTTCACTGTGATTCTATAGCACTGCATTCTTCATCATACTCTGGTTTTGAAAAAGTTACTTCTGCTGCATTTAGCTTACCTCTCCAGTTAATGAAAGCCTCATGGCTTCAGTGTCTGTGAGTCACAGCAATGAAGATAAGGCTCCACCTTATCGACAGGCGTTTACCTGGATCATCAAAAAGTAACCATTCTAAATGATGAAAGAAAACATAAAACAAAGCATCACACTTTAGACCATTGCTTAAGAATAGTGGGCTTCAAACTAGTTCTTTTGAATATTTTATTTTATTTTATTTTGAATATTTTAAATATACAGCCATGACTATCCTGTAAAGGAATAAAACCAAAAGATTATACCTAATCTTGCTACCTGCTAATAGTCTGAAAAACCAGGTTCATACCAGTTTCCTGAGGCTCAATACGCTGGGATACTGCCACCCATGGTAGAGATAAATAAATATATGCAAAAAACCTCTGTTCTGTTTTGCAAATTTCTTGTGCCCTCTCTCTCTCTCTCTCTCTCTCTCTCTCTGAAATGTTAATTTGAGTGATCTATGCATATATGCATAGGATAGAACAAAAGCATATAAATTATCTATGACCAGGTTGTGGAGGACAAAGTAGGTAACCCAATAACAATACTTACTGAATTGAAGTGAACCAAAGTCCAGGTTATTGCGTAGGATATTATTATATAAAAAGCAATATTTTGAATTGTTCCATATGCACTTCTAACTCGTCACATTTCATCTACTATTCACTATGTCCAGAGGCACCTAAGCTAAAATTTTTAACTCTTACTTGCTCTTTATTATGAAGGACTTTCTTTGTCCTGATCTTAAATACTGCAGATTTTTCCTCAAACTACAAATTCTTGTAAACGTTCTTTATTTCAGAGAAAATGTTATTCAGTCACAAAGAGGCCAGATAGAAGAGTTAGAGCACTTGGCTGAGATCCTGAAAACTCAGTTGAGGAGAAAAGAAAATGAAATTGAGTTATCTCTTCTTCAGCTTCGAGAACAGCAGGCTACAGATCAAAGGTATGTTAAAACAGAAATCTCACTTTGATAAGGTCAAAATTAGTTTAAAATGCTTTATCATATGCCATGGAAGGATAAGTCTAGTCTATTTTAAAAATCATGTTTTCACTTAACATTCTTCATAGAAGCCGCTCTAGACCTACTAACTGCTATCAACAACTCTGTATAAGGATGTTTCTCCCTAACCTACTCTGGCTCACCTTGTTCCTCCACTCTTTGGCCCCTTTTGCTGCATTTACCATAGCTGTAGGAAGTTCTGATGCCATCCAGTTGCACCCACCGAGAGAAAGGTGTGTGACAAGGACCCAGCTGTTGGCATGTCTTATGAATAAGTCCAGCCTCATTTAACTTTTTTTTCAACACTAAAAGTGAGTTCCATAATACGGTACCAAGTTGTTGGGGTTGTTTTACCCCAAAAAGATGCTTGTCACCTCTCCTAATATTCAAAATCTGCTGTTGATTGTCATGGATGACAGTGGAGCCCTTCAGTAGTCTATTTGCTGCCCCTTCAGTGTTGATGTTTTGTAATGTATACAATGTTCTTTTCCATCCTCCTTTGTCAGGTTTGGTTCTAATTCCTCTCTCTCATTTTGTATTTCCACACTGTGTTTCCATCAAGACTCTTCTTACCATGTTCTTTCTTGAATTATTTTCTCCCCTTTGTTCCTTTTTTTTTTTCTTTTGTTTCCTTTTCTTTCCTTTCTGTTTCTTTTTGTGGACCAAGGAGACCTAGAAGTAGAGGGAGTGGTATTTTGAATTTCCAGGTACCCATCACTTAGCTTAAATGATCACTGCCATGTTCCCGGTCTTGTTTAACCTATCCCTTCAACTTTGTTTTCTTGAATTAATCAGCCTCAGCCAGATGGGATGTCATCTCACGTAGGAATACTCTAATATAAATCTCTGGTAGGGAATTTGTTTAACATGGCACCATGCTGTTATCACATCTAACAAAATTAATTGCAATTCCTTAATATTCTCTAGTACCCAGTCCCTATTTAAACTTCCCTGAAGCTGTCTTGTCCTGTTTGTCTGAATTGGAATCCAAATGAGGTCTACACATTGCATTTGCTATCTCTTACGTCTCTTCTTTCTCTCTTAGTGTCCTTCAAACCAGACCTCGAGCCTCTATTCGTTTTTCCCCTCTCCAGTGTATATGATGTCATGCTTATGTGGCTAAGTTCTCATTTAGAAACACCAGTATGATTTTCTAGTCTTTCATTTCAGATTCAGAGTTTAGTCCTCCTTTAACAAACTAACTTGACACGGTAATATTTGGAAAAACTAGGAAAATATGCCTATGAGACTTGTTTTAAAAACAATAAAGTGGGCTGAAAATATACAAGAAGCTTTATATTTCAGAGACTCAAAAGATTAGTATTCTCTCTCTTAATTTCTGTTCCTAAAAAGTTATGTGTAAAATTTAATTAAATTATATAATGAAATTCTATATGTTTAGTGATGTTTATATACCCTTCTAAGGACAGGGCAAAAGAAACATGAGTCTTTTTGAGAATTATATTAGGGGATGTAATGTGAACCCTGATTCTGAACCAGCTTGAATACCTAGAAGTCGTCCATGTTCCCCCAGGAAGAACTGGTTTAGACTTGGTCTGATTGGAAAACCAAGACATGATTCCTTGTGAGGAACAGTGCTAAAGGACCAGACCCCAACACTGAATATGATCTTAATAAATTGCCAACAACCATATTTAAGATATTAGCTAAATATGAAAATTCTATACTTAGACCAAGCCCAAGCTTAGAGCCCATCCTTACCACCTTTACTCGACAGCTGAGTAGCAAGGTTATCAGAGACCACTTTCTGTGTTATACTTCCTAAATTCCCAAAGAGTAGGATGGATACTGTGTTGGCCATTTCCCTCTTCCAAAGGGATATGATCACCTAGGAACTTGAGTGTTCAGTTCATTGAAATGGAAATCCAAAAGTCCTTCAATCCTAGGACTAGAACAGCAGAAGAAATAGAGTGATAGACAGGTATGCATGTTTTCTCCTACGAATATTGTCAGCAAGAGACACCAACATATGCACCTAGACGAGTTTACCTTAACAACTCAACTATGGCCCTCCCTCAGTAGCAGTTTCTTTTGTCACATCAAGAAGTAGAAGTAGAAACAAAATGAGTATTACAGGTAAAGGAACTTCTGCTGCAGAGGCCAAAGAAATAAACTTTAGTAAATAGCGTATTGTTCCTTGAAATACAGTTGTTGAAAACTGAAGAAATGACTTCCAATAAAGGTCTTTAAGTCTTTTTTTCTTGTATGTTTACACATAGCTCAAAATTTTATGTGTCACAGCAATTTTTTGAGACTAATGGAAAACTGTTGAAAAAAATGTTGGGGAGAATATAAAACTTGGTATAATTTACTGTAAAGAAAAATCACAAAATGGAAAACATATTTAAACTTCTCTTTCACGGATACATTATTTCAAATTTGAAATTCTAGAAGTCTGATCAGGATGTTGGGCTCCTTGTTCTCAAACGTGAACCTAACGTAGTTGTAATCTTCAGAGTGCAGTGCTTGATATTTATGGCAAAGAGCCTTTTCATAGAATATTACAGAAACTCTTCGTAGTATGTGTTTAATAGACCAGTTTGGTTTGGCATCAACTTGACATAAACTGTTGGTTATCCAAAGCCCTTAATTGCTTTGAAGTAAAAGCCCAGTGCTGTTGTTTTTTATTAAAATCATGTTTTTTCCTGTGATTGTGGTCTATTTTGGAAGACTGAGTTGTGATTTTTGCATATGTTCTACATAATGCCTCATTAGCAAAAAATCTTGTATCATTTACAAGTAGCCTGAATGTCTGTGTTGTTTTGAACAAAAATCCATATTAAAATTTAAACAATATAAAAATGCACATTTTCTGCTTATTAAAAAGGCCGTCTTAAATTAAATGCAAAGCAGTAACCAGTGAACACATGTACGTGAACATTAAAATCAGAATGATTTTACCTTTTATTGGCTTTTTCAACTCCAAAAATATTTATACTCTTACCAAATGTGTAACTAGTTTGTACCAAGTAGTTTTTTTTAAGTAAATGTTACAGTGTTTACCTTCTTAATTAAAAATCATGTAAATTCCCTAATATCCCAGTGGAGGAAATTTAACCTATAAATGTTCCAAACACTCTTGACTTGCCCTCTTCCCTTTGGTTGACAGCGGACTGTCAAATATCAAAACAGAGAATCCTTTTGCAGCCATGCAGTGTCAGAAACAACTTGGCTTTAAGGGCCCCATCTCTCCCCTCTAGGCACACGCAGGATTACTTCCTAGCTCTCTTAAGTTCTTCCCCAGTCTTTTATTTTGAAAAATTACAAACCTACAGAAAAGTCTTAGGGATAGTCGTGTGAACACTCACACGTACCTTTCACCCGTTTGCATATTTGTGAATGACACAAGCCTCTTCTGCATCCTGCACGTGAGGCCTTTTCCCTTCTTCCTCCTCCTCTCTACTCTCTCTCCGTCCCTCCCACCCCCAATCTGAGTTAGACGCATGTATCATTTCACCCTGTGTACACTTCTAAGTATCCTCTAGGAACAAAGATATCCTCCTACGTAACTACAGTATGGCTATCACATTCAAGACATTCAACAATACAGTAGCATCACCTAATACACAGTCCACATTCAAATTTCCCAACTGTATCCCTTTATAACTCTTTTTTTTTTTTTTTTTTTTTTTCCCCAATAGCTGGTTGTGGTTTGTTTTGCTTTGGTTTGATCTAGTATCCATTCAGGGATCATACATTGAATTTAATTGTCCTGTCTTTTAGCTTTCCATTATTCTGGAGTGGTTCCCCATTTTCAGCCCATTGATAGTTGTTTGCAGAACACCCCTCAATTTGTATTTGTCTGATTGCCCGGCCCCCTAATTTAGAGGGCACATCTGGTCCTTGGATGGAAGGGTAACTGGGGCCAGGGATAACCACGCACACATTATTATTACAGGCAGGTGATCTGTCATTTTTTCAAAATATATCCACCAAGCTTGGACTGTTGTTTGAATACCTTAGAATTTGCCCAATGAAAAGTATCGCACTCAAATACCATTTCTTTCATCCCCATGTTTTTTATTATTAATATTATCTAAGATTGTCCTGTGATAGCAGCTTGACGTATTTTCTCAGCCCTTTATCTGAACCACAGAAATTGTCACAATTAATAGTAAAACTAGTGTGTTAGTGCACAGTTGAGAGTGGAGAGAAAGCTAAAACTAGGAACATCTCAGAGGAAGGAGACCACTTAGAAGAGTGGGAAGAATTGATCTTTTAGAATTGGATTTGACTGTCGGCTCCCTCACATAAGGACTCTGGCCAAATTCCTTACTTCGCTAAGCCTCAGTTAGCTACCTCAACTGTGAAATGAAGCGATTGAAACGGGCAAGTGGTTCTTCCCTACCTTTTAAACGGCAGCTAATTTTATCCCTAGGGAACTCGTGTCTCTGAAAGATTTTGTCTGCCGAATAAGCAGCATTTATTAATTTAATCAATTCAGTTCAGTGTGCTTTTTTTTTTATTCATCAAAGACTTATATCATGCCAATCACTGCTTCTGATAATTATGAGATAACCTGTTTTATTGAACTGACTTGGTATAATTCTATCAAAAAATAAAAACAGGGGCGCCTGGGTGGCTTAGTCGGTTAAGCATCCGACTTCGGCTCAGGTCATGATCTCGTGGTCCATGAGTTCGAGCCCCGCGTCGGGCTCTGTGCTGACAACTCAGAGCCTGGAGCCTGCTTTGGATTCTGTGTCTCCCTGTCTCTCTGCCCCCTCCCCGCTCATGCTCTGTCTCTCTCTGTCTCTCAAAAATAAATAAACGTTTAAAAAAAATTTTTTTAATAAAAAACAATACAAAACCTTCACTTTTGCAACTTAGTTGCTGGTGAATCTCTATTTCCCATTGGGCTTTTTGATATAGTAAATATAATTCTCAGATTCCCATTACTAGCTGGAATCCATTAAACTTGATCTTCAAAATGATCCTTACAAGAAAATCAGCCAGGATTTCAGATCTTCCCGCCTCCAACCGGTCCTTCAGAGTCCTCCCTCCATTTTCATAAAAGAGTGGTTATATGCATGTGGAGCTTGACGTAATGTTTCTCTCTATTCCTTGTGGGTGTCAAGAGTGGGAAAACACTGAGCTCTGATTTATATTTTGACCCACCACCACGAGAAAGGTATGATCCAGAGGCAAATAGACAGACACAGATGAATTTTTTTCCTTTATGCAATCTTAAAACAGAGAACATTATTTTCACCTATGAAGGCAGATAGCAGTTTAGAGCAAAAACGGTTGCATTTCAAATAGACTTTCCTCAGCTATTTTAGTAAAGCCATTCCATTTAGTTTACTAGCAACCTTCTGTAATCTTACTCAGTATTGTTACTTTGCTAGTGATGGTTGTCTGTGTATCCCTAGTAAAAGCTATAAATGACCTACATTTCTTGTAACAGTAAACTTACATAATGTCTGCCACCGTTTAAAAAAAAAATGTACTGTAGAGGTGTTTTAATTTTAAGGTTGTTTTCAACCTTATCCCCCAAGTTCAGTCAGCCTAAAACTATTATTCAAAAAGAGCCTCTCCATTCTGTCATAAATATTTTACTCAACTACTGTCCCGAATCTCGTAGCCTAGCTTCTGTATTCTACAGCCCTCTCTTCTAAATGGTGTTAAATACTACATTATAACATTTTTGCCTCAAAAAAATCAAGAGGCTTTCTTGAGCATTCATAATCTTTACTGTAACAGAGTGAAATGGCAATGGAGGTTCGGGGGGTGAAGTGAGAGAATTATGTGCCTGGGGAATGAAGTATAAGAAACTTTCACTGGAGGAGATTTTTGCCTCTTAAGACTTCATATTAGACTATACATTACATAGCTCCACTGAAAGTTTTTCCTTCTCCAGTATATCTGAGGTTTTAAGTTTCTGGATTTATTATGGCACCCAGTAGCAAAGCCGGAGTCAAGTGTTTTCAAGGCTTCCATTAGAAATTCCTTTTTCAGAGTTTATTGCTTGACTGTTTCCAATTATATGAGGGAAACTTGGCACATAGGTTGTTGAACTGGATTACTTTTTTCAACATAAAATCTAATTTATTTCAGTTTGTTTTTAATCTAGAGATGGGCCAACATCTCTTCCAACCGTTGTAGAAGATTTGATCATAATTCTAAATAATATGTCTATAAAAAAAAAAAAAACAAGAAAAAGAAAAGAAACCGCATTTTCCAACTTAATTGCCCAAGGTTTTTTCAAAATCCTTGTTGAAAAATTTGAGAAATTTATTTTTACAAAGCACATAATTAGTCTGCTTGATATCTGTTTGCAGATCATTTCAGCATGTGTAATGCAGCATGTATGAATCGCTTCAGGACTGTCAAGAGTTCCTCTGAATATTTTTACCGTGGATTGTTCTTTCTGTTAGAACGTCATCCTCCTGAAGATGTGATGTTCCCATCACAGTGCGTGAAACAGAGCAAGAAAGTAGGATGTGGTGGCCACTCAAAACACCACTTATAAAATGAGCCCCATCTCTGTGCTTCAAAGGAAGCCAACCTGAGGCCCTCCTCCTAGTGCAAAGAGGTCTAGGACAAGCCTCTAAGCACCGACCCTGGCCCCCTCTTGCTTCTTATCATCCTCACATCCCTTGTCAGCTTTTTGTGACATTCCCTTCCCTCTTGTCCCTCTCATTTCCACCCTCATTCTTTTATCACATTTCATCTGTGTAAGGATGTTGAGTCAGTTGTCAGGTTGGAGACGATTTTTCATTGTACGCCTTCCTAGAGGCCAGACCACATTTATCACATTGTTGATTTTGATCTTTTATGTCTTAGCGCTTGCAGCTGAACAGCCAGTCGTCCTTTCCTTCTCCCTGTTAGCCTCAGAAATATCTAATCATAGTAATGACTCCTGGATAAAGCCCCCAAAACTGACACTTGAAAATAATTCTTAAAGACATCTGCAGGTGTTGCACACAAACTGATTTCTGTGTAAAGCACCACATGATTATTGTTGTTTTCTAACTAGTTCGGTCATCCATGTGCCCACCTGTTGGGCATTACTAGCATAAAGTACTAAGTCACTTTTCTTGGCAGTATTTTGAATGAAAAGTTTGATCTTCAAGGAGTTTAAGGAAAATATTCAAGGAAGCATCCACCAGCTAAACCACCCTGAGCGTTTTTGGAAGATGCTTAGCAGCCTTGGCCTTGCAAGGAAAATTCAAAATTAAAACCTACTATTTTTCTGTGACCCTAGGTGGCTGAATGGGTTATTGGGACTTAATTCTTGCTAATATCATTAAGCAAGTATTATTACTCAAACATATATATGTATATTTTCTTGAAAATATTCACATTCTTAAAAACCGGAAGAATAAAATATCAGAGGCAACTGAAAATATAAGAAAAGATTTGAAATTATTTGAAAAAGATTCTGTCCTTGCATAGAATAACTGTCACTCGTTGTCGAGTGGTCAAACCAAGTAATTCTGAGGAAAACAGATTAAGCTATGTTTTGACTTCTAATTATAAAAGAAAGGGGGGATACTGTCTTTATTAGACTTGTTTAAAATATATTTTTCCTTCGTGTTCTGATGTTTTTGGCGAGTACAGATCACGTAGTGGGGAATCATAGTGGGGTACTGCTGAACGTGTGCTCAGAACTCTACTAGTTAGCATGTTTTCGGCACAGAATCATTTTAACATTGTGTTAAGACTGTATCCTGGGTACGATCCAGGTTCTTGGACTTGTTTATCTTCTGTGTGAGGACAACTAACTGTCCGATGCCAAAATACAATGAACTTTCAAATATCAAAGAGGAAAATTAAGTATTTCAAGTCCTCAGCTGGTTTACAGATGTGTGAGCTTTGTAGTCCATTTTCTGGTTCCAGTAGGGCATTGTGACAATTTTTCCAATATGTGTACACTAGATAAAGTTTTGGAAGTAAAATTACTTACTTGAAGTCCTGAAATAATTTTCTGAATCTAAAATTTTTACGTTTACTTTTTTTTTTAAAAAAGAATGAAGTCTAAAACTGGGCCTCACAATTTTTGAAATACTTTTGAATATAAAACGTATTAAAGAACCTTTCTCAGGCAAGTAAGTGCCTTTTGAAAACGGGTATTCATTTAGGTCTATGATTAACCTTTAACAAGATCTTCCTGTTAAATTCTACATTTGCTTTAATCTCAGTAGGAAAAATACAAACTAGTATTGCAGCATATAGAGTTTCTATATACCCTGTGGACGTTAAATGATCTCTTACAGCTAAAGGCACATCTGCAACATATTTAAATGCCAGCTTTGGGCATTATTAGTATAAAATGCTAAGTCACTTTTTGGGGAAATATTTTGAAAGGTTGAAACTCCAGGAGGAAACGCCAATAAATGGTAATCTTATGATACCATTTGTTTCAAGGGAGTGGTAGGAAGATGAGTGGCTGTCTTGCGCATTTTTGTCTTAGGGGAAAGTGGTAGTAGGATAGTCCTCTTTCAAGTAAGTCCGAAGTGCAGGGCGGCACGATCGCTGTGCTGTATAGACTGACGTCCTTTTGCACCATCTTTCAGGATGCCGTAAAATGGTTTTAAGCGCGTATTACAAGATGTCGGAGAGGTGACCCAAGTCATCAAATTTGGGTCTCCCTTCAAATCCTGAGAATCTATGAATTTATGAAAGTTCAAGAGCAACGATTGGTTGGCTTTAAATAATGCATCTGTCCTAAGTGTATGTTAAGCTAAAAACCCTGTGACTGATAAGCAAGTGTGCAAATTTTTCCTAGGTAACTTTGTAGTGAAAAATTATGATTCCACCACAGGTTGTTTTCTTTTGCCTTGCATTTTTTACTGTCTCTCTTTTTCTTAAACACATTGTTGAAGGTCAAACATTCGGGACAATGTAGAAATGATTAAGCTTCATAAACAACTCGTGGAGAAAAGCAATGCTCTTTCAGTATTGGAAGGAAAATTTATTCAGCTTCAAGAGGTACTGTGATCATTTATCTTATTATGGTGATACATAGACACAAAGGTTCAAAGAGAGTGTTTAGGTTATACTTTTTAAATAGAATGGTTGTAACACTAAAAAGTTATTTTTAAAGATGCTCTTTTTATTCTTAAACATGTATTATTTCACTTCATGTGTTATTTGTAATTTATAACTTAATAGCTAAAGAAATAACTAACCGGTTGGACTGTTTATAAATACCTGTGTCATCTTAAAATAATAAACATATTTATCATAAATTATCTCATGCCAAGAAAATTTATTTTTAATTCCTCTTCTCTGAGTTCATATGGGCACATAGCACTGAAGGGTTAGACGTTTTTGCATATGTCTTCAGTTCTAAGCATTTATGAAATAGCCAAGACAGACCAAGTTATAAATAGGTCAGTAGCCAGGTTTTGTTCAATCTTTCCCTGATGTGTTTTGTTTTGTCACTGTCTCCCATTATCACAAAATATTTGAGACCCGTCATGTCAGCAGCTATCAGTGTACTTCTTTTAATTCTTGATCATTCAGGTCGACAATACTTGGGACCCTTCATCCCTATGGTTGCTTTAACAAGATTGTGGCCCTACATGAATGTGCCATCAGAAGGTTCCTATTGATTGGCACTGCATAATTAACATAGGTTCTGGAATTAATGAACTCCCAAACATTCCAGATGAACACAATTCATATTAAACAGTACTTTCTCTGAAGTACTGAGACCAGGAAAGCAGTAAATTGATGGAAAGCATAGGGTCATCGGAAGCCTAAATTTACTATTGAATTAGATAAATATTTTTAAACTTGTACTCTGGTTTGTGCTTTCCATCCTGCAGGAACCTCCTTAAATGCAAAGTAATAACTGTCTGCCGTATGAATATGAGGGTTTATGAAAGAAAGAAGGCTAATTGCAGAGTGGAGACAATAGCCCTGTCTACCTATAGATACAAGAGGGAAATTCAGAAAACATGGAGCTGAGGGCCATTTCTAACATGGGGAATTAGGAAAGAAAAACAAAAAAAACAATGATATTACCGTCTGTCACTTTGACCACCTGACTTCCATTTAACAGTGATGCCAGGTACTTCTTCCAGTACCAACAATTGTTAAGTGTCTGTTATATATAGCACAGGCTCCTCTTTTGAGGACTGATGTTGGGTAAAGAAAGTTTTGACAGGTTCAGACCAACGGCTTCAATGAATGAGGTAGGAAGCCCAGGAAAAGCTGGTTAAAGATAATGTGTTATAATACCAAGATTAACAAAAATTGAACTTCAGTTACTCAATAGCTATGTTTATTTTAAATGATTGAAGAACTTCAGATTTTATCCTTTTTTTTTTTTTTCTTGAGAGATGCTGTGCATGCACATGGGCAAGGGAGAGGCAGAGAAAGAAATCTTAAGCATGGCCACCTCCAGCACAGAGCCCAATGAGGGGCTCGATCTCACAACTGTGAGATCATGATCTGATCCAAAATCAAAAGTCATATGCTCAATTGACTGAGCCACCCAGGTGCCCCAGAACTTAAGTGATTTTAATCAGCACATGAACCATTACATGTTATGGCTATGGTCTCTATGAAAAGACTTTAATATCATCACCTTTTCTATTTATAAAAAAAAAAAGTAGGGACACCTGGGTGGCTCAGTCGGTTAAGCGTCCAACTTCAGCTCAGGTCATGATCTCATGTCATGGTCGGTGGAGCATGTGACTCTTGATCTCAGGTTGGTGAGTTCAAGCCCCACTTTGGGCATAGAGATTACTTAAAATAAGAATAAAAATTCTTTAATTGAAAAAACTTCAGTAACTATTTTACTGAATTGAAAATTTTAACCTAATTGTATTAAAATTAGAAGCTAACCTTCTGTTAGGCTGTTTATATGCTGTGGTGACAAATCCTTTCAAGTTTCATTATCTGTGGTCAGCATTTATTTTTGACCCATGCGGCAGCATTTTTAGACAGCATGTCCAACCACTGTAACCACAACAGAAAGAAAAAAAATTTGCCGAAACCAATTTACTCACTGGTCACTAATCAACCAGTCAAAAACTAGAAGGAAGTAAAATAAAAGAAAAAGTTTGCATTATGTGACTCTGTGCTAAGAAACCTATATTCTTTTCCTAATTACACACTTGGGTCAAGAGTGTCTCCACGGACAAGTAGCACATATACATTGTTTGTGAGGTGAAGAATAAACTGTATAATGTGAACTTCAGGAGTAAATTCACTTATGAAATTGCAATCACTTATTTAACATGGAATCCAAAAATAATTTCGAAAAGATTTTGTTTTGTAGAAGCAGAGAAGTCTCCGGATCAGCCATGACGCCTTGATGGCAAATGGAGATGAGCTAAATATGCAACTCAAAGAGCAGCGTTTAAAATGCTGCAGCCTTGAGAAGCAGTTACATTCCGTGACATTTTCTGAAAGAAAAATAGAAGAGGTAAGCTCCCAAGAGGTTATTAGCCATTAGTTGTGTTAAAACTTCTCTGTAACTGTTTTGAAAAAGTAAAATAGAGACATTCTAAGCGGTATATTTATTTAAAAATCCCAAACTACATACACGGTGCTTTGAGCACAGCAAAATATAGTCCGTTTGTTATGTGCAAGGCCCATCAGTGCTTAAAAATATGTGCCAACATGCTGATATCCACTGTTCACCTAAAGGGTTGATTCTTGAGGAAAAAGAAAACACATTTTGAAACTTACCTGTGGAACCTAACTTTCTCAGCCTTAACATCTTATTAGCCATTTGAGACACCAAGACAAAGGAATACACATCTGTTTCTGGGGAGAAGGAAGGATATTCTGTTCCGCAACATCAGCAATTTTGTGAAATTATTTAATTTTTTTCCTAGGAAGTTGTTTGAAAACTCATCTTTCTATTATTATCACGACTCACATCTCCCAGCGAGCACAATCTCTTTCTGTAGTCTCTTAAATTTGTTCTTAAAAAGAATGAAATAAAGCAATGAAATAAGATGCTTACATTCTGTTCTGATCTTGCGAGAATCTTTACTGTGTCTCCTACTTGCAACAAAAGGGAATTATCAAAATGGAAATGAATTTTAAGAGTACTCTGATCCATGGGAAAGGATTGTAACTACACAATATACTGGTGAATAAAACTTTAAACATAAATGCTAGAAAGAAATTCAGAGAGCTACATTTTAGTCATAAAGGTATTAATGATAACCCTCAGTTTATTTCTAAAAATGTCATTCATCAGGATAAAGCAAGGTATACAATTTTATCTATTTATTCATTTATTTAAAAGATGTGCTGCCAGCTCTTTGTAAATTCCAGGTAACATAAGAAATTAGGTCTTCAGAGTAAATTGTGCTTAACGCAATTTATTTGAACCACGAACCAAAAGAAAGGTTAATCCTTTTGTTTTTAATGGGCCAATTAGAAATTAACACAAAATTAATACAATGATGGAATTCATTGGGGAGGGAAGTAAAAAAATATGTTTCCCAGACTTCATAGCAAACTTTTAACACATTCTTTATTGAGTTTTGGCACATGTCAGCATAAAGCGGTGCATACATTTCTACTAAATTAAAACAAATATTAATTTCGTGTTTACTTAACAACTTAGAAAAAATCAGTGCTAAATTAAATGCAGACAATATTAGTTGAGTAGTTAGCAGCTGCAATTTAAAAATCAAGACTAAAACATGTTAGCCTCCTCTCGTGTTATTTTATCCCCATGTAGTTTTGATATGATAATCACCTAATGTGTCATTTTCTTTTCATTTTAGTTGCAGGATAGAATTAATGACTTAGAAAAGGAACGGGAACTTTTAAAGGAGAACTGTGATAAACTTTGTAACAGGTAAATCATGATACATGTGTTCTCTTGTTCTCTTCTTTAAGATGTTTTATATCAAAGCAGTAGATGTCAGAATATCTAATATTGATTAAAGAATTAGCAATGGGTGATTGCGAAAAATATATATGTATCATAAAAGAAAAATAGAAAAATAAGCTTTTGGGGAGTGTTTGTAATAAGCTCTTTAACCTGAGCAGTAATCTACGACTAGAAAACCGTTATCAGTTTATGTCACTTACTGAGCATGAACCGTAAGTGAGCAGGCACTTTGCTAAATATTCTTCATATTAAAAGTTTCTCAGAGCAACCTGGAAATGTGGGTATTGTAAATGCCCATGTTAAGTTTATTTATTTAAATAACCTCAACACTCAACGTGGGGATCAAACTCACAACCCTGAGATCAAGAGTTACATGCTCTACAGACTAAGCCAGCCAGGCGCCCCTCAAGATAAATTTTTAAGAGCTACTTCAATTTTGTCTTTTAATCTACTTCATAATTATGGTATTTTAAAAATGAATCCCTTCTGATAATTTTAGGAACAAAATTCTGTAACACAGCTAAGTTTAGTTAAGTGGTACAGATATCTATCTGTGTGCGTGTCTATGTATATATGTGTATTTTTAAGTCTTTTCAGTATGTGATAACTGATAAAGGGTAAATACAGGCTTACATGAAAGTAAATTTAGTATACATACTGGAAGATGTATGTTAGAGCAGATATTCAAAGGTTGCTTCTATTGATAATATTCTGAAACGTCACAAAATAGCCATCTGATGTACCGACACACTTTTAACACTGTGGTTTGTTTTTTTTTTTTTTATGTTTTGTAAACTCAATTTACATTTTATAAGGTAAACAAATACCTAAAGAGTATAGAGATAGGCTGTTATTTGTTTTTACTTTGAAAAGATACACAGATTAATGTTAGGCATCATTCCAGTGGCACGGATCATCTATGTTGTTTCCCTACTAGTGTTGATGGTCCTTACACGAAGTGGCTCATGATGTTAAGAGTTATCGATAGCAGGGGCACCCGGGTGGCTCAGTTAGTTAAGCATCTGACTTCGGCTCAGGTCATGATCTCGCAGGTCATGAGTTCGAGCCCCATGTCGGGCTCTGTTCTGACAGCTCAGAGCCTGGAGCCTGCTTCAGATTCTGTCTCCCTCTCTCTCTGCACCTCCCCCACTCACACTCTGTCTCGCTCTCAAAAATAAACAAACATTGGGGCGCCTGGGTGGCTCAGTCGGTTAAGCGGCTGACTTTGGCTCAGGTCATGATCTCGCGGTCCATGAGTTCGAGCCCCACGTCGGGCTCTGTGCTGACAGCTCAGAGCCTGGAACCTGTTTCAGATTCTGTGTCTCCCTCTCTCTGACCCTCCCCCGTTCATGCTCTGTCTCTCTCTGTCTCAAAAATAAATAAACGTTAAAATAAATAAATAAACAAACAAACATTAAAAAATAAAAAACAGTTATCAATAACAGATTCAGACATCAGTTAAAATAATATCTGGGGCTCTCTAGCAAGGGTAGACTGGTTAAAAATCTTTATGTGGTTCTGCCTTGGACCCCTTCCAAATCATTTGGCCCTCTGGCTTTGTTCTGGCCCCTCTCTCATGAACCCTGATTAATTTTACCTAAAGCATTTATTATACCTCCTTTTTGTTTTTAAGTTTGTTTACTTATTTTGAGAGAGAGGAAGAGGGGAGGGAGAGAGACAGAGAGAGAGGGAGAAAGAGAATCCCAAGCAGGCTCCGTGCTATCGGTGCAGAGCCAGATGTGGGGCTCAAACCCAAGAACCACGAGACCATGACTTGAGTTGAAATCAAGAGTCCAACACTTAACCGACTGAGCCACCCAGGTGCCCCTATATTCTCACTTCTATAGAACAATACAAGGTTTATATTGATATATATCTAAGGATTTGGTAGTTACGTGTTTGAAATTTCCAAATTTCAGTATATAGATCACACAACCACTGCATTGTAGGGCAGAGAAAATAATGTTATCCCCATATTTTAGAGATGAGGGAATGGAGACTCAAGAAACATTAAGAGACTTGTACGGAGTCACACAGCATTGCTGAGACTCCAAGTAAAGGACCCAAACCCAATTCTTTTGACTCTAAAACTTGATTTGTTTTCCCCCTGTGCTTCACTATCTCTCTGATTTTAATTGCATTGGAAAACTGGTTCTGTGGAAGGGAAACATTCATGGAATAATAGAACTACCATACATTCAGGAATTTTTATTGATTTATATTTATCTTCAACATCTTGTAATTTCAAATAATTTAACATGGTCTTAATACAAGAAAATAAGTGCCATTTGGCCCTTACTTATACTTTTTCTACTTCCCTATTTGGGGATTTACTGAACATACCTTCTGGGAATAAAAAACATTAAACTTAGCTGGGAATAATGCATCACTGAAATTTTGAGAGGAACATGTTTTTCTCATATTTACTTTCTCACCGTGAAACTTTATCTTTCCATATTAGAAGATGATCTGAGAGTGTAAATCTGACTTTGAAGGGTTTTTTTTTTTTAATGTTTTATGCTTGAGCTACATTTTTTCCTGTCACATTAAAAACAGACTTCATTATGCTGCTTACACTTGAATTTTGTGTGAGGTATATGGAAGTAAATGTGTGTAATGAGTGTCAAAACATTTTGTGTCCAAAAAAAAAGTTAATGTCACTTAAGCACAAAACCCAGCAAGCACACATGATAGCAAACAGAACTGTAAAATTCTCTAATACAAATTTTTAAAATATAATATGTTTTCAGAAACAGTTGGAGAAACTTCTACAAAAATCATTGTCATCTTTAAAATTCTTTAAAGCTCTTGTATTCCATGGCACTGTTACCATCATTGCCAACAACTAGTGCTCATCAAAAACTAAATAAAATTTACTCCCTGTTTGGTTAGTCATAGTGATAGCGTGTTTTTAAAAGGAAAGCATTTGTTTGTTATTCAAAACTGGCTAGTTTTCAGGAGAAAAATATGATTTGCAGATTACATTCTCGTCTTCCTTTCCCAAATGAAATTTTGAATGTGTTTCTTACTTGACATATGACATATTAGAGAATCATCTGGTAAGATAAAACCCTCATGTTAGTATTTGGAATGAGCTCGTTTTAATATGAGTAAACATTTTTGATACAATGCCAAGAAGTAAGTATAACCTTATTTAAGAAATACTCCATTTGAAAATTCAGAATAAGCTTTTTTGCAATTAAATCTACGTGGTCAGAGAGAAACTATGCTACGATATTGCAAAGCTGTGCCCATCTTTGAAGTTAGTATAGTTTTAGGGTGATAGCACTCATGAATACAATAGTCCTTCAGCTGTAGGATATATGTATGAATAACCTGGAAAACAGCAAAATGTAGCTTTTACCACCCCTTTGGAACTTCCCTCCCCCAGCCTCGAGCCATCACCATCCAATTCAGATTTAGTCAATTTGGGACAGGATCCAGAGAATCTGTTAGAGGTGGTTTTAAGGCATTAACTCCCTGAGAGACACTAATACCTATTTTAAGAAAAAAAGACTTGGTCTAGTTTTTGAAGATGGTATCAACCATTTTTGAGAATTGGGTAAATCAGGTTTTTACAATGTAAGTAGTAGCCATCTAATATCCAAAATTCAATGGAGCCCTGCTGACCACCCGTAGATTTTCTGGGCTCCCTTTCTGTCAAGTGAGCACCTGTCCCCTGCAGTCTTCTAGGAATCATGAAAGCCCATATGATCAAATATGAGCACTTTGTGCTTCTCAGAAGTCAAACTGAGTACATTCGGGGCATTATTTTCTTTCAGTAAGTGAATTATCCCTATGTAAATATGTGTTTAATTTCCATTAGGTCCTAACTAAAGTATCTGTGGATTTCTTCATGGATGATTTAGAGCTTATTCTTCCCTCTCTTTCACATTAGGGTGCCCTTAAACATGGGAATACATAGAATTTCTTCTGCAAGAAAAAAGCCTTAGGGTGGAGATGAATTCTTTAGCTCTTATTTCAGTCTGATCATGTTGTTGATCAAGAGTGTGTAAGCTGACCCATGACCGCCAGTGGACGTGCCAGTGAGCACAGGCACCAATGGACATTCAGCTGTGGATGGACATTTTCTCCCTTCAGCAACATAATGTAACAAACGAAATGTGCACACAGACCAACTATGATTTCCCCCCCACCCCACCCCCAGTTGTCACTGTAGGCAATATACAAAAACATTTTCATGAATAAAAGGTTCTCAAAGACTGTTCTCATATGCAGATTTAATCATGTACACAGCCTTTACAAAGAAAATGGAGCCAGATGTGGTTCACCATTTATAGTTACACAGATGGCTCCAAGCACAGAGGAATACAGTAAATTCAAAAGGAATTCCTCATGAAACTCCAGTGGAATGTAATCCTAAATTTAGAGGGAAGATAGCAGTGGACTAAATTCAGATTGACTTATGCTGATTTACACTAGTATTTTGTGGGTTTGGAAAAACCAGGCTGCTAAATTGTTCTTAATTTAAACACATACAGCTTCTGATGTTTCTGCCAGATTAACTGTTGGTGATCTTTTTGCTGGTACTAATGCTATTGGAACACTACTGTTTCTAATTTTTGGCGTCTGATATAATGTATAATTGTGACTATTTCATCATGCTAATTTTTTTTTCCGGGTAGTACATGTTTTTAATAATACAAGACCCACGCGCGCGCGCACCCCCCCCCCCCCACACACACACACATACACACACACCCATATACCCACATACATACATATGTGTGTGTTTGGTTTATATAATTTGACTAGACACAGAAATTATATTTGGTCTTTATTTTAAAAAATGAAAATGTAAAGGAATATTCTTTAATATTTAAAGTGCATATTTTGTTTGGATTTCATTTAAGTCTAGGTAATTGTACCTTTGATCAAATTAACTTAAAATATTGGTATATAGGTTCATGCACTTTTTAAGGTTCCATATGTGAAATGAGAACATTGATAGAAGAAACAGATGTCATATTTAGAGAAACTTCTAGAATTTCATTTATTTTTAAGTTCATATTATTTTAAATGCAATAAAAGCATTCAAAATGTAAAATAGATACATAATTCTGTTCCTTTGAAAGCTATGCCTCCCAGAAAAGTACCTCTTTTGGAATAAAACCTCAAGACTAGCTGGGAGCAGCATTAAGGGCAATTTTCAATAATAAGTTTTTCTTCCATTTGCTTCATCATCAGTACAAAACCAGATTTTATAAATTTTTGTTTCATTTACTGGGTTTAAAATAAGGAGAAGGGTCAAAGCTGCTGATAATTATTCAGTCATATCAAGCTTCACAGATAATAGTTTTCTGCTGAAATACAGATCAAGATCAGTTTTTCCAAAACCTGGCTATCACCTGCAGAAGCTTTATAAAACTCTGGATTCCTGGGCCCCAAGATCTTCATTTTTAAATCTCCCCAAGTGCTTAGTATAGCTGGTCCAGCACCAGTGTTTAGTTTATCAGCATTTGGAAAACACTGGCATAAACGAATGTTGGGATTTAATCATGAGTGGATTTTAACACTGGTTTAAAATCTTCATCATTCTTACCAGGGTGTTCTTACCAGGTTTTCATCCCAATCACATTACAAGTAAAACTTTGTTCTTAGCCTGTTAATGCGGTTTAGTTTTTTAGGACAAAAACTCCATTATCACTACTTCATAATAGCAGAGTTGCCGTCTTGTATTTCGGCGTGTTATCATTTCATGGCTGAAATTTTGTGAATATGGTATTAGCACGGACTCTGTAGAAGTTTCAGATTCTAGAAGTAGAGATCAGGTGGCGAGCCCCTTTTTCTCGGTTTTAAGAGGGTTTGTATGTGGGAGAGAATAGTTTTATCCGAGGCTGATGGCTGAGGTTTGGAACTGCGGATTCCTCTGGAGTATGTACAGTATCTGAATTCCTTTACTAGTCCCACAAAAGCTGCACGCTGCCAACTTTTCTGACTGGAGAGCTCTAAATTAAGGCCAGTTCCTTTGCTCATCCCACAAAGCCTTTCATGTTTCCTAACCGCAGCCTGAGAGAGGCGCCTTGGTTTCAACAGCAGCAGACCAGCATATGTTTACTTAATTCCTAAGACATGATGACAGTGGTCTCTGTGCCACTAAAAGCTTTTCTCTTTCGCGTTCTCGGTCGAGGCCGATCTCCAGGCTCTCCTCTGCATGTCATGTGTGTTTTGCAGTGCCTTCAGTGCTGCCCACGAAGAGCAATGGAAGCTAAAGGAACAGCAGCTCAAAGTGCAGATCGCTCAACTCGAGACTGCCTTAAAGTCTGACCTAGCAGACAAAACTGAAATCCTTGACAGAGTCAAAACCGAAAGAGGTACATACAAAACCACTACCGACTTGTCTCAACAGCCATCCACTTCCATGCGTTTCGCGGTCACTTGAAATTTCCATTTACTCAGCCTCGCGTAGAAGCCCAAGGAATTTTTTTTTTTTTTTTTTTTTTTTTTGTGAGAGATACTGTCATTTAGGTGGTCTTTTAATTTTTTTTGTTGAGCCTTCTTGTGTTCAGCAGTCAACAAGCATTTCTTGAGCCAGGCACTGTTCTAAGTTCTGGGGATACAGCAATGAGCAAAGCCAAGGCCTTGCCCTCACGCAACATAAATTCTACAGAGAGAAACTGACAGCAATTAAACAAGCATGCCACATGTCAGGTGGTGGCAAGGGCAGTGGGAACAAAAACAAAGCAGTGTAAGATGACAGAGTAGAGAAATAGTTGCTTACTGGTTTTGATAGGTCAAACAGGGACGATCTCTGTGATAATGAGGTATCTAAATCTACTCTGTGACAGTGAACTTAAATACCAGGAAGACTTGCCAAGATGTCCCTGCTAAAATAATAATCATTAATAAGTTTCATGTCACAGATCTCACCCCTCTCATCTCAGGGAAATAAAATAATCATAATTAAAGTAGATGTCTGATTTACTAGATTATACACACAAGTGCACAACAGGGGAATTGAATTATTTGCTTCAAATGTTGTATCTGTTGTTCATCCACTACGCAAACCAAGTGATGTGATAATAAGGTTGCTTCTTTTGAACATTTGTAATTCTGTTGCATGCAAGCGTTTCAAAGTTTAATGCAGGCTCCGTTAAAAAAAAAAAAAACCAAAAACAAACAAATTACAAATGTAGTCAGTACTCTATTTATTGATTTAGCTCACAATGCCATATTTTATTAACTATAAGAGAGAGTTTTTTTCCCATTTTGACATCTCTGAAATTGGGATGCATCTTATAAATGATAACATTTTAAAATTATGGTCTGACTTTTTCCAACACTCTAGGAAGACTGTAATCAGAACATTTCTTACAATAGATGTAGTCTTAATTTCAATGAAACATATGTGCAGTATTTATTTGCCAAGTGGTTAAATTTCATGAAAAATTATTTGTGAATTTTTCTCAAGAATATTGTGAGGAGAATGAAATGGTGACATGATTGGTGACCGGGCAGGTATTTAAAAGTTTTGATGTCAAAGATGTATCGTTCCTGATTTTAATGTGGTACTTAACAGAGTACTTTTGTTTAATAGTTGCTCAGTAAATTCTTGTTGACTGAAGGAAGGAGAAGCACTCTATATTTCCTGCTTTTTTCCAAAAACAGATAGAAACTGCTCTGAAAAGAAGAGAAATGAAAACAACCTGTCTTATTTCTGTGCTTTCTGTATTTCCCTAAATATCAAGAATTTCAAAACTCTTACCTCTAAACATCTGCATTGGTCTCTGGAAAGAAACTCTTAAGGGAATAGAATCTTGGTGGTCTTTTTTTAAGACCTATCTGTTGTTGTTTAGTTATTTCCAAAGATTCTTTTAAATTATTAAAATTACAGTTGCAAAGTTATTTTAATCCACCGAATCCATTCTTATTTTTTTCACTAGCTTTTGTGTCTTCTTGGATTTTTTGAAAGATTAAAAATAATTCACGTATACCATTAAAAAATCCAGTGAACAAAAAAATTTCTAGAAGTCACTCACTCCCACACCCCACAAGATAATCACTATTAATATGTTTATGTTTGTCCTTCCAGAGTTGTTTGTATGTGCACAGGTACAGTTTTTATAATGTGCTTTTTATCTTTACTATGTTATGAAACCGTTCCTTGAGTATAAGTATAAACCCACATCATCATCACTTATAATGTCTGTCCTGGTTTTCCATGTGAGGATGTACAAAAAATTGCTTAACAATCTTCTACTGATGAATTTTTAAAGAGTTTCAGTTTTGTTAAGTATCATAAACATCTCTCTACACAAATCTTTACACATTTATTCAGTTGTTTTCTTAAGAAGAATTGCTAGTACTGAATCTTTATTTTTAAGCCAACTGTTATTTTAGTTATTTTGCTTGAATACCCGAAGTTTATAAGTCTAATGACTGAAGTTTGGGATCGTTTGGTGAATATGTTACAATGGATTATAAGAAAAATATTACAGCCTTGAACCATTTTTTTTCTGGGAAGTACTAAACAAACAAAAAAAATTGAAAATCTCTTTATAAGGAAATCTTTCAATATGTAGAAAGTTCCTTTTTGTCTTACAGATTTTGAAATTGTTTCATTCCACTTTGAAGTCTCTTCACACATTTACCTTTTCATTTGTCGAGTGTTCTTTGCCAGAAGATGTTTCCCTGGCTTCTTAGACTCATTCATCTAACTGGCAAATTATTTTTAGAGAATACTCACCTCTTTATTCAAGGTACAAATTAGTTTCAGATTGTGTGAATATGTGGGGGAAGAATATGTAAATGCAGTTTGCATTTGGTTAATGCTTAAATTAACTGCATGTGTTTAAGGGCCCTGCTTTTGAAAGTTCCTTTCTATCTTTAGCTGAAATGCATAATTCAGCATAATGCATATGGTTATATTGATCACAGCTGAAGATATTAGCACAAAGGAGCTCTGAAAATTGTTTAGTTGGATTGTTCTCCGCACTCTGCTTATTAATGGTGTGCTTGAAGAACATAATTTTAAAAGAGTGAAATGTTATCCCATTTGAATAAAATGCTGTTTAGCTTAACCTGCTTTTTGTCAAATCATAAGGTAAGGAGGTTATTTTTCATCTTGTACAGGATGCTTTGATTTTCTTATTACAATCCATCAAGGCTATCTCTTGTTTGAACTACAGCATCTCCTGGCTTCTTAAAGACCCAGGAGTTGTATCCCCAATAAACAGTTTGAGAAAGGAAAAATACCGTGGATAATTCTACATAAAATCTAGTAGAGAGAAAGTTACTCATATTCAGTAATGTCTTCCCCCACTAATAAGCTGTTTTCCCACTACTAACACCCTAGTTTTAAAAAAATCTCCATGAAACGGGGACATTGTTGACACAGAAATCAGCAAAGGAAGAAACATTTGAATAAGTTCATGTATACCTACTAGCATTTCATTCTCAGAACCCTGCTCTGAATATTGAAAGAAGAGAGAAACAAGAGCATGAAAATAGTAATCAGAAAACGCTCTATCTGGGGGAAGGGGCAATAGTCCTGTCCTTTACACGTTACCTCGTCATCAGAACCCCTAACCCGTTTGCAGGCCAAGAAGGAAACTACCTTTAGTTTTATATTTTTCTTACTATTTTTACCTTTTTTCTGTTACCTAACCATTTCTATCTAGATTTTTTAACCTAATCAACAGAAAATAAAGTGTTCTGCATTCTTACCGTACTCTGTAACTGAACAAGTTGTTTATCTCCTCTAACAATTCATATTTACTATTAATCCTAATTTTGAGTTGAAAGACAAATAGTTGACCTTTACCTTCAAAATTTCCAAGTACTGTTCACACTTGTGAACTCTTATTTAGGTCACTAAATATTAGCAAAAGGATAACCTTTTAACTTTTCATCGATAAGATAAAAACGTTTATATATTTGATATTAAAATGTCTCTGCATACTCTAGAGTCACTTTTTTTTTTTTTTACACTTTAGTTTTCCAGGAAATATGTGACATTAAAGATATCCAAATTTAGTCCATTTCTTCTTAATTATGTAATTTACTATTTTTACTTACATGTAGTATATATATCCCAAGTTAAATCTTGGGAACACAAAAGCATTATAAAAGTCAGAAATGTATTTTTGTATAACATGCATTCAGCGTGCAAATGTATTATGCAAAGAATTCTTGGCAAATGTGTTGACTTGCTTTTTTTAAGAAAAGGAAACAAAAATGTACAACTTGAAGACTTTTGGTAAACACAAATCTTTGAAACTAGGATGAAATTAGTGGAGACACTTTGGATGACATGGTTTAGAGTTAGTGAACGGGGAGCCAAAAAGGAGGACACCTGACCCCGACAATGAACTCTGTTGAAGAGTACGCTTAAGAACATGAGACCAAAGAATAGATTTGTTAGCTTGCTTTTTTTTTTTTTAAGTTAAGCATATGTTTAATGCAGGGAGTAAAAAATTCGTCTCTTCATGGATTTATTACTATTTTCTGTAGCTCTGCTCTGTGCTCCTGATTGTGGGTCAAGGCAAATGAGAACCTAGGTGAATGTAACCTATCTCTATTCCTTAACGAGAGCTCTGAGTCCGTGTCTTACTAATTAACAGCATGAACTCAATGAATAAAGAACACACATGAATTATTACTGATGCTACCATGCCCTGGCTAAGAATCCATTCCTCCTATCTTAGCAGATTTGTTCAAAGTGTGGTTGATTAGAATTACAGACTTCGTTATTACCAAAGAAATTATGTTGTTTTAATAAAAAGACTTAATGCTAAATTGGAAAAAGAAAACTCAAGGAAGTCAATTAAAACACTAAAAGACAAAAAAAAAAAAAAAAACTTTTTTTTTTTTTTTTGCATGCCTTTCAGGACCCTTAATAAGTAAGTAAAAATCATAGATTTAGAAACATATTTTCTTAGGTATTTTAGATAGAATGTTCCTTTGAAGTCCCAGAGGCCACAATTTCCTTATATTAATACTATGAACTTCAGTCTTCAGTTTTTGATAAGAAACTGGATCATATGGTAGACACATGATCGTGTTCATTTGTTCCTCATTCTCCTGCTGCCTTTGTCTAGGTGCTAGCATAATTTCCTCTCTGACCAGAGCAATGCTAGATCCAGCTTGGTGTGTATCAGGAATTAAATTAATTTTAAATGTGTTCTTACCTCATGCTCTCTTACCTTTCTAATGGCATTGACTTTATTTTTAAGACCAAAATGAGAAACTCATCCAAGAAAATAGAGAACTACAGTTACAGTATCTGGAACAAAAGCAACAACTTGATGAACTTAAAAACCGCATGAAGTTTTACAACCAGGTGAACTATTTTCTTATTTAGGAGATTAACTCCAAATCTGTATCTAAATATTTTATACACAGAGGAAACACTGTACTACAAAGCAAAAGAAGACAAATATATTACTTGGTTTATTAATTCATGGTCATTACGCAGCTTGCATTTCAGAAGCAGATTCTGAATAGTCGGAATGTCTCTTTTACTTAGTTTATTAATTCATGCTATCAGGCAGCTTATGTTCCGTGAGGATAATCTGCATAGTTGGAATGTCTCTTGTACTTTCCATTAATATCTCATTGTGAGCTTTTACTCGCTCTGTCTTTTGCAGGACAGTGATATTAATGCTGATGAATTGAGTGAAGCTCTCCTGCTTATAAAGGTAACTTTCTGAACTTCACCATGAATTTCATGTCTACATATAACTGTTCCAGCATAATGATGACCCTTGTCTGTAACCCTTATACTTGGAGAATAAATTATTCAGGAAAGTGGTCAGGTGACATTTACTTACAGCATATACATATTTCATAATGACATCAAAATTACATTAAAATAGACCTCAAAAACTCTTATTTAAAGCACTTTCTCCAACTGTACAAATATTTCACTTTTACACACCTCACTATAAAACTAATCAACAATTTTGTCCTAAGAGACCTTGGTCCACCCTATTATCTTAAGTAAAATATTGAATTATAAATGTTACCAGAAGATATTTTTTCAGTTCTAGGATATTCTGTCATTTATAAGAAGACACGGGAAAATACATTTCTTTCCCATTAGATCAACACTGTGTAGCATTTAATCAATTGAAGAAATAGAAATAAATGTACATGATTCTTCTTTATGTCATGAAGTAATAAACTGTTTTTTGAATTCTCTGTAATTGTTCCAAATGTCTATCTAAATATATTTTCTGTATCAGGATTGTTTTATTCCTGATGGAAAATGGAAATGTATCTGTTTTCAATTAATGATTTTTCCTTGCCATATCTATATTAATTCACATGATTATATTTTAGAAACTCTTATTTCAGTAAGAAAACATGTTTTTATTTTAGGCTCAAAAGTCACAAAAAAATGGAGACCTTTCCTTTTTAGAGAAAGTAGACAATAAAATTAACAAAGATCTAGAACGCTCCATGAGAGAGCTACAAGCAACTCATGCAGAAACGGTGCAAGAGCTTGAAAAGACACGAAACATGCTAATTATGCAACATAAAATTAATAAAGATTATCAGGTAAGGTGCAACACTAACTCGGGGAAATAGATTTTCCTTAATAATCAACTGATGATTTACTTTTCTAAGCAGTGTTATGTATTATCATCTGTTATAATCTCTTATCATTTATTACCACATGCCTGGAATGTGGCCTCGTAACTAGGTACTTAGAGTCAGTAGTTGAAAAACAAACTGTTTTTTTTAAGTCCCTAGTTTTAGAGACCAAACACCAGCAATGAATTCACCTGTGCTTGTATTAGCACATTCTGCAAATGGGTTATAGTTATCCTGAAGTCCTGCCACAACCACGTGTGATTGTAGCCTGTAACAAACGGGAAAATCACCTCCATGGGAAGGGATCTCGGGTTTTGTTAATTTTACTTCTGATTTATGAACATTGCCAAGCATAATTTTCTAAACTGTGAGCTGTTTCAGAAAACCATGGTTTACAGCTCCTGGTATCTCCAAGATCTAGGAAAATGCTTGTCATAGTCGCTTTAAAAAATGAAAATGGAACTAATCCTAAGTCTTGAGACTTGTTATCTCCTCTTTTTTAGATGGAAGTTGAAGCAGTGACCCAGAAGATGGAAAATTTGCAGCAAGATTATGAACTCAAAGTGGAACAATATGTTCATCTTCTTGATATCAGAGCTGCACGCATTCAGAAACTAGAAGGTACGATGCGCACAATTCTTCGTCTACAGTAACTAGACGAGTAGAGTTTACAACAGTTGAAAATGTCGTCCAAATCTACACTCACGATTTCTCTTTGCTCTATTTTTTTTTTTTTTCCAATTCATAGCTGTAAGGAGAATTTACCAGAAAGGTTGTTTTTATCTGATTCTTTTCCACTCAAGAATTTTTAGTAACTTTCTACTGCTTTTTGGATCCAGTGTTGCAGGCAAGATTTCAAAGTAGTTTATGGAGCACGGCAGAACTAACTTTACCACCTCATTTCGAGTTTCTCTTCTCAGCAAGCTATGCCTCGCAGCCAGACAAGTCTGCTTGCTCTTTGTCAGATTCACCTTTCTCGGTCCTACCACGGGATCTTTGTTCCGCCTAAACCTCCTTTATAGCCAACGTACGCCCTTTTTACCCTGCTTCGAAATCTAACCAAATGCAATGCATGCCTGTGCCAGGAAACTGGCTCTCATCACTCCTAACCATTCATGCCTCTACTTGAAATGCCCTTACAGTGGTTTCCAGACTTAGGCAAGTATGAAAATCATGTGGGAAACTTGTTTCAAATGTAGCTTCCTGGGCCCTATCCCTGGAGATCCAGGGGCCCATGATGCTGCTATATTTAGAAATCCAAGCGACTCAGACGCAGGTGCAAGACCACACTTTGAAAAATACTGCCTCGGTACTTACCATCCTTCCTCTTATGTACTCGGAAAGTATGTTTGGGGACTGTATTATGGAAGTGTTCTTTATTGTTGGAGTTTTGCATGTTCCCTGTGATGGCAGGATACGTTCTTCGATGCCAAGTACTTTGTCTCTCTCTCATGTCCCCTGCCATACAATGTTTAATGTATGGATCTAGGCCAGCAGTAATTCTACACTCTGAAAAATCACTGAGGATCCCAAGGGCCTCTTGCTTCTATGGGTCATACTTACTATACTTCTAGTAAGAATTAAAAGTGAGAAATTTGGAAAATATTTATTTTATGTCATGCTAAAATAACAGTAGTAAATCCGTTACATGTTAACATAAATTACAGTATTTATTTTTAAAAAGCTGTATTTTCCATACCAAAAAAAAATAGTAAGAAAAGTTACACTGTTTTAAATTGTTTTCCTTTTTTTTTTTTAATTGTTTGACATTTTTACAAACTTTTTGGTGTATACCTTAATAGAAAACAGCTGGGTTTTTAAACCTGCTTCTGCATTCAATCTGTTATGATATCACACATCATGTAGAGTTTGGGAAACTCCATCGTACACTTGTGAGAGAATAAGAATGAAAAAGGCAAATGACATGTCAGGATTGTTTTAAAAATAGTTTTGACCTCACAGACCTCCAAAATCCGTTTCAGGGACCCTCAGCATTCCCAGACCACACTTTGAGAACCACTGCTCTAAGCAGAAGGGTTCGATCCGCCTGAACAGGGTTTTCCAGCAGTCAAAGAGCAGTATGTACCTTTTATTTCAAGTAGTACTCAATAAAAATGTGCTTAATAGAATTTTCCTGAATCACACGGAGGTCACGTAGCTTGGGATTTTCATTCCTTTTGGTCTTACTAAAACTTCACCAATATATATTATCAGTCCCCAATATTCACTGATTCATCCCATAAACCTGCTCAAGCTCTTCCTGCATGCTAAGCAAAGTGCTGGTCAGTGAGAAGCCAAATAGGAAATAAAGCTCGGGTCCCACCCTCAGCGAACTCAGAAGATGGAGCAAGTAAATAGAGTATCCCTTCCCGGGAAGAGTGGGAAGCTAGGAAACGCGAAAGATGCGGAGGATACGTTGAGGAGAGATGCCTACTTACACCTGAAGACTCGGGGAAGACTGCCACGCAGTAGGTTTGGAGTCTCCGAAGGCTAGAGAATTCACCACTAAGTAAAAGCAAGAAGGGCCTTCCAGGAAGTAGAGGAGGCAGGTAAAAATGCCCTTAATGTGAAGGGCTGCCATTCATTTGTAAATGAATGGCACCACTCCTGGTTAATAAGGGGAGGAGGATCTCCCGGCAAGGCTGGAGAAAACCAAGTCATCCAGGCCCTGCTTGCCACCCTGAGGAGTTTTGTTTTTGTTTTTAATTTTTTTTTTATGATTTATTTATTTATTTATTTTGAGAGAGAGAGAGAGAGAGGGGAAGCACAAGTCAAGGAGCCGCAGAGAGAGAGGGAGAGAGAGAGAATCCCAAGCCGGCTCTGCACTGTCAGCACAGCGCCTGACACGAGGCTTGAACCCACAAACCGTGAGCTCATGACCTGAGCCGAAGTCGGACCCTTAACCGACTGGGCCACCCAGGTGCCCTTGCCCCCCCTGAAGAATTTTAACCTTAATTACCTACCTAGAAAACCACTAAACAGTGTTTAAGGTAGACAGTAATACACCAGAACTGCATTTGGGAGATTATGCTGTAGTTACTAGGAAGAGTGAGTAAGATCTGAAGTAAGGAAGCACTTTGGGTTCCATCATAATCTGGGTGGTAAACACTGGGAGTGTAAGAAAGGTAGCATTAGTGGACAGAGAATGAACAGGGGCAAATTTGTAACGACTTAGGAAACACTATTGAATACTAGTGATGTGGGGAGAATTAAGAGAAAGGGAAATTAGAATGATCCCGTGGTATCAAGCTTGGGCAACTGGATGGATGCTGACATCAGCGCCTGAGATTCAAAGTACAGAAATAACTGGAAGAGACTACTCTTCGGTGTTAGATGCATGCTATTTTGGATATATCGAGTTTGAAGTGCCAAGGGGATATCTAGACAGAGGGCCCAGCAAGGCATCAGATCTCTGGGTCTGGAATTCAGGAAATAAATCTGAATTAAAAATAGAAAGCTTAGGGTGCCTGGGTGGCTCTGTCGGTCAAGTGTCTGACTTGGCTCAGGTCATGTTCTCGGGGTTCGTGGGTTCGGCCCCACCATGGGGCTCTGTGCTGACAGCTCAGAGCCTGGAGCCTGCTTCGGATTCTGTGTTTCCCTCTTTCTCTGCCCCTCCCCCACTCCTGCTCTGTCTCTCTCTGTCTCTCAAAAATAAATAAACGCTAAAAAAAATTTTTTTTAATAGAAAGAGGAGAGTCTTCAGCATATTTATAGTAGCAGAAGTCATAAAAGGGGGAGATTACCCATGAGAATATGTCATCTAAGGAGAGGATAAAAACAGGACCCCAGCAAATGATGAGAAAAGGAAAGAAACCCTAAAAGAATGACACGAGAGGTAAAAGGAGAAGCCAGGTTGATGATGACATGGAAACCAAGGTAGGACAGAGGTTCAAAAAAGAGAAAGTGATCATCAGTGTCAAGGAAGGATAGAAACCACCTAATACAAGGACCAAAGCCCATTCAATCTAGCAATTAATTCGTTCCTGGTGACCTATTCTGGAGCAGTTTCCTAAGAAAAGTAAGGCAGATACTATTCGCAAGAAGTTGAAGAAGAGTGTCTGTTAGATGTGGAGTTGTAGACTCCAGTATACATTATTCTTTCCAGAAATGTGGATATAACATGGGGATAAAATGTGTATCTAGAAAGAGATACATCTGTGGCTCCTGAGTGGCTCAGCTGGTTGAGCGTCTGACTTTCGATTTCAGCTCAGGTCACAATCTCACAGTTTATGACTCTGAGCCCCACCGTGGGGCCCCAAGCTGACAGTGAGGGGGCCTGCTTGGGATTCTCTCTCTCTCTCTCTCTCTCTCTCTCTCTCTCTGCCCCTCCCCCGCACGTGCTCGCTCTCTCTCTCTCTCTCTCTCTCTCTCTCAAAACAAACTTAAAAAAAAAAAAGATATATCTGTTTAAAAAAACAGCTTTGTAGAAGTATAATTAACATACTTTAAACTGCACGTATTCAAAGCATACAGTTTGGTGAGTTTTGGGCCCATGGATACACTATGAAACCATCACCATAATCAAGACAATAAACATTATCCATCACCCCTAAAAGTAGGAAAGTATGTATTTCAATAAGCTGAAGGGAAGGAGCCAGCAGAAAGAGAAATCGACTTTAAAGGAGAGAAGGTAATAAAGCAGAAGCAGAGGAACAGGAAGAATCCAAATATTTACCTCAGCTGTACTTTCAAAAGCCTTTTCTTCTTTTTTTCTTTTTCCTCTTCCCTGGTACAGGCTATATTCTTTTTTTTTTTTTTTCAACGTTTATTTACTTTTGGGACAGAGAGAGACAGAGCATGAACGGGGGAGGGGCAGAGAGAGAGGGAGACACAGAATCGGAAACAGGCTCCAGGCTCTGAGCCATCAGCCCAGAGCCTGACGTGGGGCTCGAACTCCCGGACCGCGAGATCGTGACCTGGCTGAAGTCGGACGCTTAACTGACTGCGCCACCCAGGCGCCCCAAGTACAGGCTATATTCTAACTTGAGTTGTAATTTTGTTGTTAATAAGCGATGTCAAAACCAAGGACGAATTTTTGTATAATACAGTATTACTCACAGAAAAACAGTGTGGTCACAGAATTTAAGATTGAGACTCTTCACCAAAAGCACTTCGGCTTCCTACCACTTCAAAAGCCAGTTTGTATCTTCATATGTCAATATTTAAAAATATCTAAACTGTGTGTCTTCTCTTGCAGCCCAATTAAAGGATATTGCCTATGGCACCAAGCAGTATAAATTTAAACCAGAAATCATGCCAGATGACTCTGTCGATGAATTTGATGAAACCATTCACTTAGAACGAGGAGAAAACCTATTTGAAATCCATATCAACAAAGTAACCTTTTCTTCTGAAGTTTTACAGGCGTCTGGAGATAAAGAGCCTGTCACTTTCTGTACCTATGCTTTCTATGACTTTGAGCTACAGACCTCTCCCATAGTGCAAGGCCTCCACCCAGAATATAACTTCACTTCTCAGTATCTTGTTCATGTTGACGACTTATTTTTACAATACATTCAGAAGAATACTGTCACTCTTGAGGTCCACCAAGCTTACAGCACAGATTACGAAACACTTGCAGCTTGTCAGCTGAGATTCCATGAAATTCTAGAAAAAAGTGGTCGCATATTTTGCACAGCAAGTTTGGTTGGTAAGTACAATCTTATAAGCTTTGGATGTGTGAGTCACTAATTTGGTGTATAGGTTACTATGATGCTCTACATTAGTATCTTTTCTCGTACGGATTCAAGATCCCTTGAGGCTGTTGGACAGTGTTCTCTAACTGAGCTGCCCAGAATAGACTGGACTATCCTAAATGTCATTGAGGATATCAGTGCGATGGCTATTACTTTTTTAAAAGCTTCTAAGTGCATGTATTTATTTACCATATCGATGCCCTTTTTTGATCAAATGTTGTAGTACATTCATCAAATATTCTGTAAGATCATTTGTTATCACTGTTAGCAGGCATTGGAAATACAGGGGTCGGTGCTAAATAAGACAGAGCCCCTGCCATCGTGTAGCCTACCTTCTAGAGGGGAAGACAGGCCATAAAACAAATATATATCTCATCAGATGGAGAAAAATGAACAGGATAAAGAGAGAGAGAGAAGATGGCGAACTCAGACAAAGACATCCCTGATGGGTGACATTGGTAGAGACCTGAGTGAAGATCCATGACAGGATCCGGGGAAAGAATGTTTCATGCAGTGGAAACACCAAGTACCAAGGTGGAGGGACAAGCATGACATATCGGAGGAGCAGCGAGAAGGCCAGCGGCTAAAGCAGAAAAGCGATTAAAACAATAGAAGGATGACTACGCCAAAATAAGGCCGTCAGAGGAAGGCAAATAGCATATGATTTCACTCCTATGTGGAGTTTAAGAAACAAAACAAATGAGCAAAAGGAAAAGGAGGAGGGGCGAACCAAGAAACTCCTTACTGTAGAGAACAAACTGATGTTTACCAGCAGGGAGGTTGGGGGGGGTGGTGGTTAAATAAGAGATGGTGTGAAGGAAGCACGTCTTGTGATGAGCACCAGGTGTTGTATGGAAGTGTTAAATCACTAAATTCTACACCTGAAACTAATATTACACTGTATGTTAACTGACTGGAATTTAAATAAAAACTTTTTTGAAGATACACTATAAAAAGAAAAACAGAAAACCAAGGGGCACCTGGGTGGCTCAGTCAGTCAAGCATCCGACCCTTGATTTCAGCTCAGGTCACAATCTCACAGTTCAAGCCCCATGACAGTGCGGAGCCTGCTTGGGATTCTCTCTCTCTCTCTCTCTCTCTCTCCCCCCCCCTCCCCCCTTCTCTCCCTGCCCCTCCCTTGCTCTCTCGCTCGTTCTCTCTCTAAATAAGCTTAAATAAAAGAGAAAAACTATGGAAGGACTAGGTCATGCCGTAAAAACTTGTAGGTCTTGTAGGTCATGGTGAAGAACGTGGAGTTTTTATCTCTCGGTGATGAAAGTCATTGGAGAGTTTTGAGGGGGGAAGTGACATGATCACACATAGATTTTATTTTTTTAATGTTTGTTTATTTCTGAGAAAGAGCGAGCAGGGGAGGGGCAGAAAGAGAGGGAGAGAGAATCCCAAGCAGGCTCCATGCTTTCAGGTCAGAGCCCTACGTGGGGCTCAAACCCATGAACCGTGAGATCACAGTTAAGAGTCGGATGCTTAACGGAGCTACCCAGGTGCTCCCACATGTAGGTTTTAGAAAAGCTGCCTTGGGTGCTGTAGGAAGAAGAGTCTGTAGGGGCCAAGAGAGAAAATAGGACCATTATCAGGCTATTGCATTAATCTGTGGAGAGATGATGGTGGCTTGAATTCAGATGGTAATGAGCGAGGCACCTTGGTACAACCTGGCTGAGTTAGTTGAGCTTCAGGTTTTTGATTTCAGCTCAGGTCATGATCCCAGTGTCGTGGGATTGAGCTCCAAGCTGGGCTTGGAGCCTGCCTGAGATTCTCTCTGCCCTCTCCCCCCAACTTGCACACACACTCTCTCTCTCTCTAAAAAGAAGAAGAAGAAGAAGAAGAAGGAGGAGGAGGAGGAGGAGGAGGAGGAGGTGGTAATGAGAACATTGACAAATGATTATTTTCAATGTATATTTAGTTAACTGTTCCTTTAAGACTTGCTTATCAATTGTATGTAAGGTAATGAGAGAAGTGGAGGGCCAAGATTTCTGTCACGAACACCAAGGAGAATTGTGAGGCCATTTATTGAGGTAGGCCTGAGAAAGGAAGGCCTGAGGAAGAAAATCAAGAATTCTGTTTGAACAAGTTAAGACTGACCTGCCTATTGGACAGCCAAGTGGAAATGGCATATGGGCTGCACTAACTAGCCCAAAGGTCAGGGATAAAGATATGAAAGGGGGGGTCCATTACCATATTGAATATATTTTAAGCCTTTAGCCTAGGTTATAACACATGGAGAATGAATGTACAGAAAGCAGAGAAAGTGGCCAAGGACGGAGCCTTGGAAAACCACAGAATTTAGAGTTCAGGAGGAAGAAGAAACACCAGCAGAGGAAAGTAAAGAGTAGCCAGTCACTTAGGAGGCAAACCAAGAGTATACAGTATCCTAGAGGCCAAGTAAAGAAACCATTTCAGAATGATAAGAGGGTGACTTAGCTTCCGGGGAAGGATTTTATTTTATTGATTGATCACAGGGGTAACATAAATATCAAAGTCAAAAAATAAAAAAGTGAAAATTTTTGCCATAAAATCTCTCTCGCACTCCTGTCCCTCAGCTACCCTAGGCCCCCTCACCAAAGGCTACAAATTTTCACAAAGAAATTTTAAGCATATACAAGCAAATATGAGTATCCATAAATATTCTTGTTTTAGGACTTTTTTGTTTAATGATAGCAGATTTGAATGAAGTATTATATGTTGATGAGAATGATCCATTAGCGAGAAAGAAACCAATGAAGAGAATGGGGAAATAATGTTAATAATATGGTATGTTTAGGAAAGTTTACATATAGAATATCCTCTGTTCACCAAATATTGAGTACCCATTATGTACTAGTCCCTCTGGTAGGAATGTATCAATGGAAACCACAGCCCTGGCCCTCAAGAAACTTAAGAGTGCAGGTAGAGAAATAGGCTGGTGAATGGACAGTTATGTGAAAAGAGTCAATGTTCTAATGAGAGGATATCCTTCTTCTCTGGGAAGGAGTTCTTAAGTCCCCCAGGAGCTATAGGGGAAATCTTCACAGAGGAAGAGTGATGAAGAGCTGCCTGAGTCAAAAGGAGCACTGAGGGTGTATGGGGGCAAACATCATGCGAGCATGGCTTGCATATATTTGGCACAGCTGTGGCATTTATCCCTGTACTGGTAGCACAGTAGAGAAGTGGAGAGGTGCCCAAGATCTCTTGGAAGTTGAATCACAATGTGGAGTATCACATTTATAATTGTGGGCTTTCATATTTTATCTGTCAGTCTACATTGAGTGCAACTTATTAAAAACAAGCTACTGTAGCATCAGAAAGAATCTGTGGAGTATTTAAGACAGTGTTTAGTTTTTTCTGTATATTTTAGAAGGATTGAAACAGTATAAATTGGAATATCTCAAGCATAATTTGACATAGTTCTTTAATAATACTTAACATACAATGAAACTCATGCTTGCAGAAGTAACTTTATTTTCTTCAGCTCTGTTCTTTGCCAATCACACATCATTCGTGCAAGTCATATATTATTTTACTCAGTATAAAATTTTAACAGTGAGTTATGCATTGGTTTGTAGGAACTAAAGGAGACATCCCAAATTTTGGCATAGTGGAATACTGGTTCAGATTACGAATTCCCATGGATCAAGCAATTCGACTTTATCGAGAACGAGCAAAAGCTTTGGGATATATAACATCAAATTATAAGGGGCCAGAGCAAATGCATTGGGTGAGCTGGTTGGACTTTAAGACATTTTTATGACACAGAAATTTTATAATATGTCTTTATATGTCATGCTTTAAACCAAAATCATTTTCTTTCATAGCCATCAAGTGACTCTTTTTAACTTTTTATTTTGAAATAATTATAGACTTACAGGAAGTAGCAAAAACAGTACAGAGAAGTTCTATGTACCCTTCATCCAGCTTCTCCCAGTTGTAACATCTTAAATAACTACAGTACACTCTCAAAACCAGGAAATTGACATTGGTATAATACCATTAACTAGGCTACAGACCTTATTCAGATTTTTCAGTTTTTATATGCACTCGTGTGTGTGTGTGTGTGTGTGTGTGTGTGTGTGTGTGTAGTATTAGTTCTGTGCAGGTTTATCATGTGTATATATTCATGTAACTGCCACCACAACCAAGGTACAGAATTTTCTAATACCACAAAAGAACTCCCTTGTGCTACCCAGGGCACTTTTGAAAAATAGAATTGCAGTTCTGTGAATTGGAAGTTTAAATGCAATTCCTCAGAGCAGCATTTCCCAAACTATGTTTTATGGAGCCTTACTGGCCATACTTCCAAAAGAACGCCATGATCCAATGAATGCAGAAAACACTAAAGTAGGCAAAGTTAAATAGAGTCCTTGACTTCTCATGTATAATAAGAATCCCAAGAGGAAAGCATAAAGTATGCACTTGGGTTGAGTAACAAAGGAATAAAATATAGTTGAAACATTTTGGAATGTCTGCTCAAGTCATAGTTATCTTTTTTCATTTGGACTGCCGTCACTCCCAACCCATGGGGTTGAGCCTCCAGGGGCCAGATTTACGTTTAGTGATCCTGTTCTCTCCTACTATCCACCCGACTATTACTAATGATTCAGGGATATCCACCTGACCCCAGTTGAGCCAATCAGATTCTGCCTTTTTTTTTTTTTCAGGAATAGAATGTAGTAATTCATCACTTACATATAACACCCAGTGCTCATCCCAACAAGTGTGTTCCTCAATGCCCCTTTAGCCCTTCCCTCCACCTAACACCCCACTAGCAACCCTCAGGTCTCTGTACTCAAGAGTGTCTTATGGTTTGTCTCCCTCTGTTTTTATATCATTTTCACTTCTTTTCCCTTACGCTCATCTGTTTTAAATATTAAATTCCTCATATGAATGAAATCACATGATATTTGTCTTTCTCTGATTTATTTCGCTTGGCATAATACATTCTAGTTCCATCCATGTTGCAAATGACAAGATTTCATTCTTTTTGATGGCCGAGTATTATTCCATTGTGGGTGTGTGTGGGTGTGTGTGGGTGTGTGTGTGTGTGTACACACACCACATCTTCTTTATCCATTCATCTGTTGATGGATATTTGGGCTGTTTCCGTACTTTAGCTATTGTCAGTAGTGCTGCTATAAACGTTGGGGGGGCATATGCCCCTCCAAACCAGCACTCCTGTATTCTCCACATCCTTGCCAACATTTGTTGTTGCCTGAGTTAATTTTAGCCATTCTGACAGGTGTGAGGTGGTATCTCATTGGGAGTTTGATTTGTTTTTCCCTGATGATGAGTGATGTTGAGCATTTGACATATGTCTGTTAACCATCTGGATGTCTTCTTTGGAAAAGTGTCTATTCGTGTCTTTTGCCCATTTCTTCACTGGATTATTTGTTTTTTGGCTGTTGAATTTGAGAAGTTCCTTATTGATTTTAGATTCTAACCCTTTATCTGATATGTCATTTGCAAATGTCTTTTCCCATCCCGTCGGTTGCCTTTTAGTTTTGTTGATTGTTTCCTTTGCTGGGCAGAAGCTTTTTATCTTGATGTGGTCCCAACAGTTCATTTCTGCTTTTGTTCCCCTTGCCTCTGGGGACATGTCAAGTAAGAAGTTGCTGCAGCTTAGGTCAAAGAGGTCGTTGCCTGTTTTCTCCTCTAGGATTTTGATGGCTTCCTGTCTTACATTTAGGTCACTCATCCATTTTGAGTTTCTTTTTTGTGTATGGTGTAAGAAAGTCTTCCAGGTTCATTCTTCTGCATGTTGCTGTCCAGTCTTCCCAACACCATTTGCTGAAGAGACTGTCCTTTTTCCATTGGATATTCTTTCCTGCTTTGTGAAAGATTAGTTGGCCATACATTTGTGGGTCCATTTCTGGGTTCTCTGTTCTGTTCTATTGATCTGTGTGTCTGTGTTTGTGCCCGTACCATACTGTCTTGATGATTATAGCTTTGTAATAGAGCCTGAAGTCCGGAATTGTGATGCCTCCAGCTTTGGTTTTCCTTTTCAGGATTGCTTTGGCCATTTGGGGTCTTTTTTGGTTCCATACCAATTTTAGAATTGTTAGTTCTAGCTCTGTGAAGAATGCTGGTGTTGTTTTGATAGGGGTTGCATTGAATGTGTAAATTGCTTTGGGTAGTATCAACATTTTAACAATATTTGTTCTTCTAATCTATGAGCGTGGATTATTTTTCCATTTTTTTGTGTCTCCTTCAGTTTTTTTCATAAGCTTTCTATACTTTTCAGTGTATAGATTTGTCACCTCTTTGGTTAGGTTTATTCCTAGGTATTTTATCAGATTCCTTTCAAGAGAAAGCAAGACTCTCCATGCTTGGAACATGCTTGAGAGCCATAGGGCAGCCATCTTCTTGCTGTTAAGCAGCAAAGGAAAGAAAATGGGACTGGAGAAAGAGAATAATGAGCAAACACACAGAGAAAAATGAAGACTAGATTGAGAGGAAATTCTGATGGTTTTCCAGTCCTATTACCTTCCTAAGGCCCACCCACATCTCTGCTCTATAGTTCGATGAAATAACCATATGGGCTTACATTAAAGTCTCTTTTGTTGTATTTGCTAGACAGAATTTGTTTCTATAATTTTCAGTTAAAGAACTATGACTAATATGACAGATTCCCAAACTTAAGAAAGAATGGCACCTGTTTCCCAGAGATCATCTTTCTGGACTAGTATTCTTCAGAACATACTTTAGAAAGTGCTGTAATAGAAAAAGAAATTAAAAATAGAGAGACCAGGTTATTTATTTAGTTTTGTAGTTTGTTTTTATACTTCCATTTTCTGGCTTGGGTGAGTCATTTGTTGGAATTCCAACTTTTGTGGGTAGATTTGGAGTGAGAAGCAGAAGGGATACTTTTTTAAAAAATTTTTTAACGTTTATTTATTATTGAGAGACAGACAGAGCATGAGTATGGGGGAGGGGGGGCGGGCAGAGAGAGGAGGAAACACAGAATCTGAAACAGGCTCCAGGCTCTGAGCTGTCAGCATAGAGCCTGATGTGGGGCTTGAACCCACAAACCGCGAGATCATGACCTGAGCCGAAGTCAGACACTTAACCGACTGAGCCACCCAGGTACCCCAAGAAGGGATACTTTTTAAATCAATCCACTCAACATTCTATAGTTGAATACAAGCCAGCCCTGGGAAAGCAGTATTGTGATTCCCTTTTCAGGCTTGCCCTCTCCACATCACTGATGTCTCTACCAAGGGCATTATGACTTTGGTTCTATTTCACCTTCTCCAGTTAACTTCTCTGGAGTCAGAGGTTCCAGATGCTCAATGCAGATTCAAAAATGCTATGAAAGAGGGGCCTCTTTGTGGAAAGTAGAGAAATTTCCAACACTAAACTGAGCAAGGCCCTGGAACACTAATGTTTCTTTGTCCCAGGTCATCAGCTATGGTGGACTTAACAATTGATTAGTGTATTTGTTTGCTAAAATACTTATGCACAGGCTCCCTGAACTATAGTTCCAAAAGGGGCCATAGAGTAACTTCTAGCTCTGCCTAATAATTCTTCTCACTCATCTGTCTTCTAGAATGTCCTCCCAGTTCTAGCTTTTTCTGCCCTCTAAGATTTATCTCTCACCCTGTTCTCTTGTTGTTATAGCAGTTGAACCTCACTATACTTGCTGTCTTGGGCTAATATATCTGCTTCCCCAAACACCATTGGTTGAGGATGAGGGCCAATCCAAATGTAATGAAATCATCTCTCTAGGTGGGCTCCATCAGGTTCACGGGATTCTTACTTAAGAGTGGGATATGATCTGAATAGCTGGAATGGTTGAAGAATTAGCTCTTAATAGTGAACTAGAGGACATTTGCCATTGGACCCATCTGTTAACTTTACTCATTAGTCATTAAATAGAATTAAAGAATATCAGGTGGTTTTTTTTATTTTTTATTTTAACAGCAGTCTCTCCATGTATACCCAGTCTTCTATGTTTATTGCTAATCACTTAAGATCACCTGTTCACACATGTTCTAGGGAGTATTAGTTTTGAGAAATTCACTGTGAAGTTGCAAATATGCAGTTCTTTGTACATTTACAAAATTATTTTGTTTGGGGTTTGGCAGCTGCTGTTGATCTTGTCACTGTATTATTACTATAATATAAATGTGTATTTTTTCCAGTCAAGTCAGCAGGCACCCAAAACTGCTCAGCTCAGTTCTACTGATTCCACAGAGGGCAACTTAAATGAACTTCATGTTACAATAAGATGTTGCAACTGTCTGCAGTCCCGAGCAAACCACCTTCAGCCACACCCATATGTTGTGTACAAGTTTTTTGATTTTGCAGACCACGATACAGCCATCATTCCCAGTAGCAATGATCCACAGTTTGATGATCATATGTGTTTCCCAGTGCCAATGAATATGGATTTGGACCGATACCTTAAGTCAGAGTCTCTGAGTTTTTATGTGTTTGATGATAGTGACACTCAAGAAAATATTTACATAGGAAAAGCCAATGTGCCTCTGATTTCACTGGCACATGACAGGTGTATCTCAGGTAAGTGTATTTCTTGAATGTATGAAATTGTAAAAACAAACCTAAATTATACTTTAGTTATGGATATGGTCTGTCTATAACTAATCTTCCTAATGTTCTCAAATAATCCTCAACTTTGGGCCTATGGGTTTTTTTTCTAGTTATTTTTTTTAGTAGTTCTGCAGATTACAATATGTGTCTTAACTTATCACAGTCTAAAATTAATACTAACAGTTCCCCTCAAAGTATAGAAAGACTGCCCCAATATAATTCCATTTCCTCCCCTGTCCTTTGTGTTATTATTGTCCTATATTTATATATAGAATGCCTATATATGTTGTAAACCCAACAATACAATGTTATAATTATTGCTTTGTATAACTTTTTGTCTTTAAGAAATTAAGAGAAGGGACAATATATATAGGAGACTCTCACATTGACTTATGTATTCATCACTTCTTGTATTCTTTATTTCTTCCTGTAGATTTGAGTTACTGTCTGGTGTTGTTTCCTTACCCAATGTAGCTCCATTGCCTCCCTCTCCTTTGTGCTGTTATTATCATATACTTTTTAGTTTTTTATAAGTTAAACAAGAGTTTACTATTATTGTTTTATGCATTTGTCTTTTAAATCAGTTAAGAGAAATCTCAAAAAACATATTTATACTGTAATACATAATTACCTATGTAATTACCTTTATTATTCTCTATTCCTTTGTGTTGATTTGAGTTACCATCTGGTATCACTTCCTTTCAGCCTAAAGGACTTCCTTTACTATGCTTTGTAACTCAGGTCTGCTGGTATGATTCTCTCATTTGTTATCTAGGAATGTCTTTATTTTGCTTTTATTTTTGGAAGGATAGTCTTGTAGGGTATAATATTAGTCATCAGTTATTTTTTTCTTTTGTACTTTGGGTATATCAGATGACTAATTTCTGGAATGTATTGTTTCTGATGATAAATCAGCTATTGATATTATTATGGTTTCCTTGCGCTCGATACTGTTCTCAAGATTTTTCGTGTGTGTGTGTGTGTGGTTTTAAACAGACGATGATGTGTATAGGTGTGGATCCCACTGTGCTTGTCCTATTTGGAATTTGTTGAGCTTCTTTATATGTAGGGTAACCTTATGTACCAAATTTGGGAAGTTTCTGTTTCTTCATTTTTTTTATGCCTTTTCTTCCCTCTTGGGCAGAAAATGTGTGGGCAGAAACATACATGTGTGTGTTTAATGGTGTCCCACAGTTCTCTGAAGTTTTATTCATTTTTATTCATTTTTTTCTCTGCATATTGGATAATCTTTATTGGTTAGTCTTCAAGTTCACTGATTCTTTCCTCTGCCAGCTCAAATCTCCTATTGAGCCCCTCTATTGAATTTTTTCATTTTAGTAATTATACTTTCAACTCCAAAATTTCTATTATGTTCTCTCTTTTATAAAATTTCTATTATATTTTCTGTTTTATAAGTTATTGTCATATTTTCTTTTAATTCTTTAAATGTCAATTTTTTAAGTTATTTGAACATATTTATAACAGCTGTTCTGAAGTTTCTGTCTGCTAAGTGTAACATCTAGACACTCTCAGAATGTGTCTATTGATGGCTTTTTTCCTATATTTGCAGCATACACTCGTGCTTCTCCATAGGTGCCATGATTTTTTGTTGTTCTTTAAAATTGGACATTTAGGATACTATATTATAGCAACTCTAGATTTCAGCCCTCCCCTACTCCACAGGGTGGTTCTCTTGCTGTTTTTGTTTGGTGACTTGCCTGAACTAAATCTGTATCTTTCCCTCATTGTACCCACTGATGTCTCTGGTAAGGTTTTTTTGTTTGTTTAATTTTAAGTTTGAGTCAGCATAGTTTAGTGGTCAGTCATTGATTGGCGAAAGGTTGCACTTAAACACTTTGAGCTGGTTGGCTTCCCACCTTTTGTCTATGAGTTAAGGAATGGGTTAGGTAAGGGGTTTTCAAACTTCAGGCAGTCTACAAGTCTCGTGTTCAGCCAGGGAAGTAGGTTACTAGAGTCTGTTCTGACTCTTACTGTTGTTACTGAGTTTCTGTAGATTCTCTTAAATAAATGCTTCTCAATTTGTTGTACACCTTTGTTTAATTTCCAGAGCCATTAAATGGTCCAGTTTTATTATTTCTTTCTTTTTGTGGAAAGGATTTACTGAGCTCTTCATTCGGTCATTCTAGAAGTCCCACCTGTGTCTGTAATAGAAGTTTATCGTCTCCTTCTATTCCATCTATCATCTTTATTCTTTGGTTCTAAGGTCTAGAGTTGTTTTGTTTTTTCTTTCCCAGCCAGCCATTAAAAGATGTGTGAAACCCTTGAGTCAGAACAGACTCTAGTAAGTAAAGGAAGGATACCCCTGAAAAAAGTTATACTTGAAATATAGTTCTGTTTTTTTCAAGTCCAAGATTTTTCAGTATGACTAAAATTTGTGACTCTATATTACAGTTACAGCTAGGTGATACTTTTTAAAATTACTATTTTAGATGGTTTGTTTATTTTATGGACATTTGTTTGCTGTGTTGCTATTAATTTGGAATAATTTAACAAATCCCAGTAAAATATATTTTAAATTATGATAAAAATTATCATAAAATTAAAAAAAGTTATCATAAAATTATATGGTAATATGAAGTCTTCCTTTGATATATAAATTACTTGAATTTGTGAAGTTCTAATATATTTTTCTATAGAGACAAGTCTTTTGCAAGAATATTCAAGTCAAGATGAAGGTTGATTTTTGAACTATCACCTAGATAATATCTTAGCAGAAGGCTAAGAACTCTGAATAATCTCCAAATTTAATTTCATTGAATTAAAATATTTATAAGTTAATTTTCTCATCTAGGAGTCAGTATTATCACTGAGACCTTAACTTCTGAAAGCAGTCTGCTTGAGAGATGAACCTATCATAGATTATTTTGTCTTTATTCTCTAAGCCATTTGAGGTGTGAGTAAAAACCAAAGTTATTTTTAAAGTCGTGGGTAGTTCTCTTTGTTCTTCTTTAATTCTTATGGTAACAAAATTTCACTCTAGCATTAATTAAAATTTTTTTCATAACTTGACAGGAATATTTGAGTTAACAGATCATAAAAAGCATCCTGCAGGAACCATCCATGTTATATTGAAATGGAAATTTGCTTACCTTCCACCAAGTGGATCTATAACTGAAGACTTAGGAAATTTTATACACAAAGAAGAGTCAAAAGTTGTTCAAAAACTACCTCCAACATCCTCTATTAGCACAATAGTTGTGAGTAACTGTGACTCTAGCACTAAAGAAATCGTTTAAAAAGAAAGAAAGAAAAAAATAGCTAAAGTCTTATGTAAGTGTATGTTTATCATACTCACTTTAATGTATTGATTTATCTCAGGCACCAACACCTAAACCAAGACAGCGTTTAACACCTGTAGATAAGAAAGTATCTTTTGTGGATATCACCCCACATCAGAGTTCTGTAAGTAGTAAACACTGAAAATACTAATTTTTTTCTCCCATAATAAGTATTTGAAATACATGATATAGTTATAATATACTCTACCTGATTTCAAAGGAAACCAGTGAATAAAATGCTTCTTTTTCCTTTAAATGTTAGCTTAATAATTTGGCACGGTTTAGAAATGTTAATTCTTCTTACTCTTTGATCTAAACCCTCCTTTGGCTCCATCTATGTCTCCAGCTACTGCTTTAATCCTCTGTCCTCATTTATGGGGAAAAAAAATCTCTTCAAAAAGTTGTCTTAATTCTGTCATCCTTTCTTCACACTGTTTCTTGAACTCACTCTAGGCTAATTCATCCTCATTTCAACCACCCGTGCTGAGGTCATGATGACTTTGACTTTGCCACAGCCAATAGTCAATTCTGAGTCCCATCTTTATCTCCCCATAACATCTGACACAGTGGAATACTCGCTTCCTCTTCGCTTGGCCTCTGGAACACTGTGCCTTTCTTGCCCTCCAACTTTACCAGTTATTTTTCTCACTCCCTTGGACCAAATCTCTCAAGATTGAGGTGCCTCAACATTTAAACTGCAGACCTAGACGTCTGCTCAGTCTGTATCTACATTGAGAGGTCTTATCCAGTCTCATAGTTTGGGTTTTTTTTTTTTTAATATTTATTTATTTATTTTGAGAGAGAGAAAGCATAGGCGAGGGGCAAAGAGAAAGGAAGAGAGAGAATCTTAAGCAGGCTCCACGCTGTTCCATGAACCACAAGGTCATGACCTGAGCTGAAACCAAGAGCCAGATGCTTAACTGACTGAGCCACCCACTCACCACCAATCTCACAGTTTGGAACAACATCTAGATGCTGATACTCCCATATTTGTATTTTCACTCTTGATCTCGCTTGCCCAATTCCAGATTTATTTTCTTCCTGCTTATTTCATATGCATTGGACGTCTAGTAGAAACCTAAACTTCACATGTCAAAACCCAGATGTCATCTCACCAACCCTCTTCCAAAATGTTTCTTTCATTGTTTCCCATTCTCATAAATGACTGACCGTTCAGCAGTTGCACAGTCTTGAAATCTCAAAGTCATCCCTTTGGCATTTCCTCTTTCACATCCCACATCCACTTCATCCACAAAACCTGTCAGCTATACTTCTAAAACATATCCCGTAGTCAGTCATCTCTACTCTCACCACTCGAGTTACCATCATCATGTCTTTTGGACTTTAAAAAAATAATAACTTATTTGTAATTGACATACCTCTCACATAGGTAAAGGACATGAATCTTAAGCACACAGCTCAGTGAATAGCTACACAGCCACCACCCAGAGCTTTAAAAAATACCTGGCATATACAGTGCATTTCATATATATGTGCTAAATAAATGAATTCAATAATTACTAGTCAGGCAGTATTTAATAGCTAATACTTACTGAGTGCTTATTATGTGTCAGACACTGAGCTAAATGCTTTATGGCCACTGAACTCATTTAATTCTCACAACAACCTTAGGATCATACTAGAATTATTCCCTTTTAAAGATTGGGAAGGTAATGTTTACAGAGCTTAAGTAACTTGCTCAAGGTCAAAGTATTAGATCTGGGATTCGAACACAGGTAGCCTGATTCCTACATAAATGATCATAAATATAAAAAAGATGTGCATAGAGATGTTTGTTGCAGCGTTCATCACAACAGCTAAAAATGGTGAACCAGTTATACGTCCAACACTAGTAAAGTGGTTCATTAAATTATGATACATTCATTTATTTTAATATTATGTTTTATTAAAAATTATGTTTACCCAAAGTTTCATACCAAGAGCAAATTTTATGTTGTGGTATTAAGGGTTTTTTAAATGTAATAGGATATATTGTATTTATAATACAATTACTACTATGTAACCAAGAGATTTCTTTATTTGCATTAAAAATTAACCATAAAGAAAAAGGTAAAAAATAAAAAGAAATCTATTATTAACAGATATTATCATTGGGTAATGAAAATATGGATTTGTATTAATTTCTTTTGTTTTCTTGTTTATCTTTCACATTTTCTTTTATTGAATATTTTTTAATGTTTATTCATTTTTGAGAGACAGAGAGAGACAGAGCATGAGCAGGGGAGGGTCAGAGAGAGAGGGAGACACAGAATCTGAAGCAGGCTCAAGGCTCTGAGCTGTCAGCACAGAGGCCGACACGGGGCTCATACCCATGAACCATGAGATCATGACCTCAAGCCAAAGTCAGATGCTTAACTGACTGAGCCACCCAGGCACCCCTATCTTTCATATATTCTATATTGGACATGTTTACTTTTAAAATAGCAAAAATGATAAGCTGTATTTTAAAAATACACATCAGTTTATAAATCCTGGAAAATGATTGATTATAAATTGATTTTTGATAAGTTAAAAAAGAATGTTGATCATAGAAAGTACATTATCTATCCTAGTACATGCAGTTTTTTAATTACATGAGTAATGTATAATCATTATAGAAATATTAAAAAATACAAAGGAAAATTTAAAAACATTAAAAATAAAATTAAATTTCCCCAAATCTATATGTCAGAGATAGAATTTTGGTGAATTTTCTTCCACACTTATTCCCATGGGAATATCCACATTGTTGGCTTGTTTGTGTTTTAACAAAAGCGTATACAACTATATGTATTGTTCCGTAGCTAGCTTTTCTACCCAACACTGTATTGCGTACTCTCTTCAGTGTTAGTAAGTACCACTATGTCAGTGTCAGTACACTTGTACAATGTCAGTGGCAGTGACAGTGTCAGTAAGTACTAATAATGATCTACATTATTATTTTTCTCATGGTTACAAAGAACTCAGGTATTTGGATGTACCGTATTTTACTTAAGTAGCCCTCTACTGTTGGACATTTGCATTGCTTTCAGTTATAAACAGTCCTTCAGTGAACTACACTTGCCATTCTTAAATTGTGTATATACCATGATGAATAGCAACCATTGTACTGAAATACATTAACTAAATTTAGGGACAGATGGGTAACTACAATATTTACTCACATATATATGTATATACGTGTGTGTGTGTGTGTGTGTGTGTGTGTGTGTGTGTGTGTGTGTGTCAGGATGATGTGAGATTTAGTAATAAATACAAAATAACATACATGCATGTTTTTACATCAATAAAAGGAGATAACTACTTCTCCTGAAGATGGGAAGGAAATTTCATCAGAAGTGGAGCATACACCAGAAATAGAAATTAATATGCCAACTCTTTCACATATTCCTGAGGTATGTATTTGCATTAAAATTCTTTCAAAAGGTTTATTTGGTTCTTAAAAGACTTTGTATTAACATGGATCAAGAAATCATAGCATTATCCTATTTTTGTGTACAACTTCCTGGGAATAGAAGGACCAAAAATATGACAAAGGTTGTAACAGCTACAATTATGCTGTTATTAGCAGGTAGTAAATAGATATATGAATTAGAGTAATCTGTAAAAGTCATTTTGATGTTAATGCATTTTTCATTCTTGGTTTATAATAACGTTTTCATGTATCTGCATATTATCATTTGTACAATTTCGGTGATTGTTTTCTAACGAATCACTTATGTGTAATGCTTGTCTATATATTTAAGTCTCAAGCTTGCATGCTTTATTAATCCAGTGCTTCAACAAGTATGTATACATGTGATCTAAGCAACAGTGTATCAGTGTGCTTTCATTTCTTCAGGTTTCTCAAGGAAGCAGTGTAACGAAGGTAAAAGAGAATACTGAGAAAATAGAAGGAAGAGATGATGATGTGTCTTGTCTCTCTGAGGGTCAGCTTGCAGACCGAAGTTTGTCTTCTTCAGAAGATGAAACAGAAATAACTGAGGAACTAGAACCAGAAGGTGATTTTTTTTTCCTTTTTTTAAGTTAACATTATTTCCTTCTTTGCTTTATTTAATCTGTTAAGAGTATGCCTTTGGGGCGCCTGGGTGGCTCAGTCAGTTCGGCTCAGTTCATGGTTTCACGGTTCGTGGGTTCGAGCCCCGCGTCAGGTTCTGTGCTGACAGCTCAGAGCCTGGAGCCTGCTTCAGTTTCTGTGTCTCCCTCTCTCTCTGCCCCTCTCCCCACTCGTGCTCTCTCTCTTTCTCTCTCAAAAATAAATAAACATAAAAAAAAAATTTTTTTTTAAAGAGTATGCCTACAGGGCATCTTCATTTAACAGTGGATCTACCTCATGATACCTATCTCCTGACAGAAATGACGGGACAGAGTTCAGTCTCGTCAGCTACGGTCGGGGGAACGACTGCACACCTTATTTCAGCTTGGAGTGCCCCACTAGCATCCAAGTATAACTGCTGACCACGTGTCCAGTTTATATTTTAAATAATTTCATATTCTCTGTGGGTGTTATACTATCATCTGGATTATTCTAGAGAAATTAACTTTTTAAAAATTAAAACTAAGAAGTCAGACAAAAAAGACAACTCATGACAGTATTTAATTTCTATGAATATCTGGAACAGGCAACTATAGTGACAAAGCATTGAAGTCGCTCCCTGGGGAAGGGCAAATAGGAACAGAGAGATGCAAAATAGGAGTAGATTATCGGGGGCACGAGGAAACTTATGGAGTGATGGATATATTCAGGATCTTAATTGTGGTGATGATTTCACAGAATTATGTATATGTCAAAATATCAAATTTTGCATTTTAAATATGTACAGTTTATTGCATGTCAATTGTGCCACAATAAAACTGCAAAAAATTTTAAAGATGCTTTTAAATACTAAGAGTAACTTGATTTTGTGCACAGTATAATTGGTTAGGCTGTTAGAAAACACCTATTACCCTGTTCTCTTTAAAAAGATTATTTTTAGGGGCACCTGGGTGGCCCAGTCAGTTGAGCGTCTGACTTCGTCTCAGGTGATGATCTCACAGCTCGTGAGTTCGAGCCCCGCGTCGGGCTCTGGGCTGACAGCTCAGAGCCTGGAGCCTGCTTCGGATTCTGTGTCTCCCTCTCTGTCTGCCCCTCTCCCGCTCATGCTCTGTCTCTCTGTCTCTCAAAAATAAACAAATATTTTAAAAAATCTTTTTAAAGATTATTTTTCAATTTCACAACAAGCTATATTTTTATTATCTTTGTTTCTACTAAAACTGAACTTGGAATTTTCAGTTGTTTTTGTTTTTTTTTCTCTTTCCTAAAATATAATTTAGGGGCGCCTAGGTGACTCAGTCGGTTAAGTGTCTTACTCTTGATTTCGGCTCAGGTTGTGATCTGACAGCTCATGAGATCAAGCCCCATGTCAGTTTCTGCATGGAGAGCACAGAGCCTGCTTGAGATTCTCTCTCTCTCCCTCTCCCTCTGCCCCTCCCTTGCCTTGCTCTCTCTCTCTCTCTCAAAATAAATAAACATTTAAAATAAATGAAATAAAATGTAAAAGTATCTTTGCTGTTAAAAAAGGTCTAGACATAATTATCATATTGTTCTTTTAAGGTTGTCCTTATGACATATGCTTATTTCTGTCCATTTTACAAGGTATATTTGCTTTAATAGACTTAAACTATTGAGTTTTATTTTTTAATAGATGAGGAAGAGAGATCAGCGTCTGACAGTGATGAATGTATTATTCCTGGTCCTGTCTCCGAGAATATCAAACAGGTCAGTAACTTGATGCCAGCTAGAAAATTGTAAAATAAAGTTGTCTTCATTCATAGTGTATCAGTCTTCATGTATGAAAATCTTCGGGCAAAAATATTTCTGGGAAAATGCTAATGTATTTTCACAGTCTTACCCATACAATCGTCTAGTACAAAATAAATTTATATGTAGTTTCATAATGTGATGGGTGATAACTTCTAGAGTTAGTTTGGCTTACATGTTAACAATACCTAACAATAGTAGCTTTAATAGTTAATTGATAAAACCAGTCGACTTCCCTGACTCCTTTTCAGAACCATTGTACAAAGGTATGTTAAATCACATCTCAACTTTAAGAATTCAAAATGTGATATTGCATTCAAAACTATAATAGCTTGCAAATGTGAATTCATACACTATTCATATCTAAATATGTCCACTGATAAACTATTAACGTTATTTCATTTCTGCCAAAAAATTAAACCCTGTTAGATCTTGTATAGTGTTTACGTGTTTTGTAGCACATTGCTGAAAAGTAGTATGTAAATTCAAATTTTGAAAAGAAAATTGTACTTTAATTTACATGGGAAGTATACCACTTAGCAGAGCATTTTTTATTTTAAGGGGGGGGCCATTTTTATAAAGTAAGCGTAAGTAAAGTAAAAAGGCTCTAGCTTTTTCTGTTCATCTACATTAATTTTCCTGAAATGATTAATTGTACACCTTTTTTTAGAATTTCTACTTTTTGGGTAAGAATTGGAATACTTCTTTCAACTCTTAAAATTCTCAGCTTAACCTCTTTGCAGACCAAACCCAAATGCAAACAGAATAGTTCATCTGTCCAAAGTTTTATTACCATTGTTATTAATTATAATACCACCTGACCCATGCATCCTTATATATGGAGTCTTTTTTCTTCAAAATCAATAAATCAAGGAAGAAATCTTGAGTATGGTTTCCTGGACACTTTTAATAAAGCATTTAGTTCAATTAAATTTAGCTTTTTTGCTTTATCAAACCTGAAATTGTTTATCGAACTGATGAATAGAAATTCTATGCTGTCTATTAGAAAATTGTGATAATGGGAATTAAAGGGAAAATGGGCCCCTTGTGTGGATAGCCATTTGTATTAGGGTTTTCCAGGGAAATAGAACCAATAGGATATATATGTATAAATGTCTACATATAGAAAGATTTATTATAAAGAATTGAGCCACGTGACTGTGGGGACTGAGAAGTCCCAGGATCTGCATTCAGCAAGGCAAAGACCCAGGAAATGCAATGGTGTAGCTCCAGTCTGGGTCTGAAGACCGTAAAAGTTGGAGTGCCACTGGTACAAATTCGAGCTGGAGAGCAGGCAAGCAGAGACCCAACAAGAGTCAGTGTGTTCCATTATCACATTCAAAGTCAGGAAAAGACCAACGTTGCATGTGAAGGCCAACAGGCAAGAGGAGTTCTCTCTTTTTGTTCTCCTTTTTGTTCTGTTTAGGTCTTCAATTGATTAGAGGAGGCCCCACCCACATTAGAGAGGGCAGTCTGCTTTACTCCATCTTCCACCTCAGATGTTAATCTTATCCAGAAACACTCCAAGGACACACCTAAGACAATGTTTGACCTATGTCTGAATAGCTGGTGGTCCAGTCAAGTTGACAGATAAAATGAACTATCACATCATTTTATGAAGAATGTATTCTCATTACACCGAGCACAGTAAGCGTGCATGTTGGAATCAGACATTTCTTCCTGTACATCTTCCTTAAGAACTGCTTCAGGTAGCACTTTCAGGACAGTGACACATGGCTTTCATCAGAAGGAAAGGACGACTTGAATGGTGCTTCTGACCTAAGCACATCCTGCATAACATGTCCTTTAATTATCACAACAATCCTATATTCCTTAGCATCTACTCTGTGTCAGAAAAGAAGCAATCCCTGGCCTCAAAGAAGTCACAGTCTGCAAGGAAACACAGTCACAACGTAAGGTGGTCGGAGCGAGGGGAACGGAATGCACAGGGTGCTGCTATAGGAGCATTCAAGCAAGTACCCAACAGCATGAGGGACCCTCATCAAGGATGACTTCCAGAAGTCAGTGAAGCTTGAGCCAAGTGTTGAAGGTGATGAGGAGTTAGTGAGAGCCATAGAGGGGTCATTTCAGGACAGAGGAATGATAGCATAAAAATTAGAATGTGGAGCATAACTTGTTCTGGAAATTCAGAATGGTTTTAGGATGGACTACATCTATGGCACACCTACAGGGCCCCAGGAGAATATGCTGAAAAGGTAGACATGTCCTCAGCGTTGAGGCCTCTCGTGTATCACCCAAGGAGGCTGAAGTCTATCCTAAAGTTCTATGAGCGGCCAATAAGGGCTTTTAAGGGAGGGGGAAGATCACTCACTCATTAAACAGATATTTGGGGACTATTTGCTGCATTCCAAGTTTTTTGTTTTTGTTTTTGTTTTTTTAATTTTTTTTTTCAACGTTTATTTATTTTTGGGACAGAGAGAGACAGAGCATGAACGGGGGAGGGGCAGAGAGAGAGAGGGAGACACAGAATCGGAAACAGGCTCCAGGCTCTGAGCCATCAGCCCAGAGCCTGATGCGGGGCTCGAACTCCCGGACCGCGAGATCGTGACCTGGCTGAAGTCGGACGCTTAACCGACTGCGCCACCCAGGCGCCCCTGCATTCCAAGTTTTGTTCTAGGCCATGAGAATATAGCAGTGAATAAGAGAAATAATCCTCTTGCTCTTAGGGAGTTTACGCTCTTGAATTCAATTTTAAAAGAAGAGAGGCACAGAGACTAATTAAAAAGTAATTAGAGAACCCTACTCTGGTTCTCCCCATTTGATAAGATTTTTTTAACCAATTGCCTCTACCCTCTCATGTCACAGAATTGAGACTAAAGTAGTATCCTAGATAAGTATCATTTATGCCGATTACACTGTGAATCTGAATTACCTGCTACACTGTATAAGCACTTGAAGATCACCCAGTTTCCTCCTTGCATGTTTCAGAAGCTCTCAGCTCACAGTTATTTCTTAGAAATGTTGATCCTTAACAGGAATCTAACAGATTTCCCAGGACTTAGACATATTACTTGGTTCTTCCTCTTTTCTTTATGTCTGTGATGTATAATTAATCATAGATTACTTCATTTTGTTTCATTTCATTTACAACATTTATGAGCTTCACTTTGTCAGAGTGAAATGCTTGTCCCCTCCTTTTCTTTCCAAAGTGGCATAATTAGTGTTAGCATCTTTTTTAACAGGCTACATAAAGTTTAGTGGCTGGATTAAATCAAGTCATTAACATAATGTGCTACCCAATTTGCCCCTATCGCTCTTCGTTTCCAGGACATCAAAGGGCCACAGAGCACCAGTGTAATTGGGCCTTGCTGGCCTGTCAGATTCCGTCAGCCTGACGACTGATTCTTTTACTAAAAAGCTTCTAGGCATGATAATTAAGTGGGGTGGGGGGAGTCTGAGAAATGTAAAACTTTGGACATTTCTCTATGAATATTTTATTAATTTGAATAATCAGAAGTTAACAGTATCAATTTGATGTATAATACATTGATTAAAAGCCTTGTTTTAGGTCCTTAAAATAGACATCAAAACCAAAAATTTGCATCTGCCATGACACTAAAAAAAAGAATTAACAATCCTCCTTTCAGAGTGTTTCTAGTTTTATCTTTTAAGCAACGCAGCTTTCCATTTTCACTACGAAATGTATGGCCATCAAGTCACAGATTTCTTAAAGTGCGCCCACAGGTAAGAATGGGAGGTCACACTCTGACAGAGCAACGGACTCTTCTGTGGATTGCGTGTTTACATCGTTCTCTTTCTCTGTTTCTACTAATGGCAGTTTTGTAAAAACTGCCATATTCAATTGGACAAAATTGCAATTCCACCTGGAAGCCAGGTCCCCTTGAACAATATGAGCTGGCATTCCCAGGTGACTGCAATAATGATGTTCAGCAAAATATGCTTTAAAGATTTGAAAGGCAAAATGCATAAAGCAACTCACTACTTTTAGAATTCATGTATTAAAAAGTATTAAATCAGGGGGCACCTGGGTGGCTCATTAGGTTAAGCATCCAACTTTGGCTCAGGTTATGATCTCACTGCTCGTGTGTGTATGTCTCTCTGTCTCAAAATAAACGTTAAAAAAAGTTAAAAATGAATAAAAATAGAAAGTATTAAGTCGGGGCACCTGGGTGGCTTAGTCAGTTAAATGTCTGACTCTTGGTTTCAGCTCAGGTCATGACCTCATGGTTCATGGGCTCAAGCCCTGAGTCAGACTCTGAGCTGATAGTTTAGAGCCTGCTTGGGATTCTCTCTCTCTCTCCTTCTCTGTCTGCCCTTGCCCCGCACACGCACCCGTGCTCAAAATACATGAGTAAACTTTAAAAAACTTATTAAACGATTTCAGAATCAAACATGATATCCTGTCAATGTGTAAAATAAGCCCCTCCCGCTGTTTTACATATGGACGCTTCAGCTAGATAGAATACGTTTCAAAATATATTTTAGGTGAAACCAGAAATGTTGAATTACTCTGCCGGTAGATTCTTCCGAAACTATTTTTTTTTTAATTTTTTTTTCAACGTTTATTTATTTTTGGGACAGAGAGAGACAGAGCATGAACGGGGGAGGGGCAGAGAGAGAGGGAGACACAGAATCGGAAACAGGCTCCAGGCTCTGAGCCATCAGCCCAGAGCCCGACGCGGGGCTCGAACTCACGGACCGCGAGATCGTGACCTGGCTGAAGTCGGACGCCTAACCGACTGCGCCACCCAGGCGCCCCCAAAACTATTTTTTATGTTTTGCAACTTAATTATCTCTTACTAATATACTATGGACGTCTTTCCATAGTAGTATATTCCATTTCTTTTAACAGATGCATAATACTGCAATGCATAGCCATACCATATTTATTTAAATAAGCCCCTTTTGAAGGACCTTTAGGTGAGGGCATCTAGGTGTCTCAGTTGGTTGAGTGTCCCATGGGGCCTTAGGCTTCT